AAGGAGACGACCATTCCTGCATCAATGTCAATCTCCCAGTGTGTGCGGTGAAACATAGCACGGTCGTCCTTCTCAGTAGTCACTGCTAGCGCAACACACCGCAGCGACTCAATTTGCATTACACAATCACCGGCTGTAGTATAGACATCAATGTCACCCACCATGTCTGACGGGATTTTCTGAGTGGGAGGCGTAGCCTTTGTGACATAAGATTCGACCTGGAACGGAGAGCCCCTAGGATGATCCGTGTGGGCGATGACTGCTGGGTTGAATCGTATAGATTGGATCTCCCTTGGCAGATGAGGTGTCCGAAGGCTCCTACAAAGTGTGTAAGTAAGTGCAATAGAAAAGTAACGTAGGTTTGGTAGGACATACTCATCATCCGGAGATGCAAAGGCTACGAAAAGGGTTTGAAAGCATGTATCCAAGACGCCCGGGTGCATGAAGCAGGAAGAAGATGGCACGTGGGCCACCGTTGCCGACGCTCGGAACAGCCTCCGCTCGCTGGCTAGCAAAGAATGAAACGGCCCAGTATAATTCAAGCCCAGCTGGGACATGGACCCATAAAACCGTTCGATGTCTACAGGGGAGTTGCCCGGAGACTGTTGCTGCTTTCTGGGCAGAACAGTGAGGTCAGGACTTCCCATTTCTAGTCGGACGCGGGTGGTGAACCTAGTTGTCAATACATCGGAGCCATCGACGTGACCAGCGATGCAGGTGAAGTTGAGATTAACAATTTCCAAGGCTGACGAGACCTTAGACTCTCGTGTGGAACTAGGGCCGAGGTGGCAATGGAGCTCTATGCCGTCGGCGCTTCCATCGATGCTGATCCCGCGACGGATATCCAGATCATGCAGCTCCAGGAGACGTACAGGCCGTGGGTAGGAGAAGCGCAAAGCCGCTTCCATCGCCATTATGCAATATCCTGCAGCTGGGAATAGCATCTCACCCTGGAATTCGTGGCCTTGCAGCCATGGGATCTCCCGGGGATGCAGGATATTTCGCCACCGCCAGAATTGCCCAGATTGCTCCACGCAGACGCCAAGCAGCTCATGAGAAGGTGCCCGGGTGCGATATTCTTTCGAAGCGCGCGACTCCCGCCAGTACGGTCGCTCGTGGTCCCACGGATAGCTTGGAAGGACCTTGGGGAGCATCGCTGGCAGGGTGCCGTCTTCTCCATTGATGAGGCTCTGGAATACCCGGAGATCGACAGAGGATGGACCGCAGAGCTTCCATACCTCACCAAGACACTTACTCAGACGAAGAACATCATTTTCACCACGAGTCAGCGCACCTAGGTAGGCAGGTACGTTCTGCTGGAGCGCCTTGAAGGTCTGCCCGGCTGGACCTGCCAACGCTGGATGAGGGCCAACCTCAATCGCGCAATTAAAGGGACCATGGTCCTGGATGGCCTGTGATAAAGCATCCGAAAACAGGACCGGTTGAAGAAGATTCTTCAGCCAGTAGCTGTCGTTCACGCAATCCGAGCTGCAATCCATTTCGAAGCCATGGACAGAGGATATCCAGGTACAAGACGGGCCAGAGGTGCGGTATGCAAAGTCGCGCGCCTGGAGAGCTTGCATGTAAGGCTCTGCACACGGCTCCATGAAAGGCGAATGATAGGCCTTATCGACCCGAAGTATGCGAGCGAACTTCTGTTGGCGGGTCAACTCGTCTCTGGCAAATTCCAAAGTGAACAAGTCTCCCGCCAGCGTGGTCGAGGAGGGCGCGTTGCTCGCAGCCGGAAAGATCTTCCCAGCATACTCGGGTTGGGTGCAGAAGCGGGTGGCTTCGTTGAATCCCATCCCCACAGCCATCATTGACCGTTTAGGCCCGCCTTCCCCGGGGTCTGCACGCGGTGAGTAGAGGCCGCGATAGTAGGCAATTGTAATAGCAGCTTCCGCCGTGATGCACCCTGCTGCGTAGGCCTACAAGGCGGTTAAGTTAGTTTAGATCTAGGATTGTCACGATGGCAGTGGACCAACTTACGGCACCTATTTCACCACTGCTATGTCCAACTACCACAGAGAAGCGAATGCCAACACTGTAGAGCAGGTCGACCAGGGCTACTTGAACAGCGGTAGTCAGTGGCTGGGCATACGTTGACTGCTGACACCTAGATGTGTCCGGATCGGCGAGGATCTCTTGCCGTAGAGACCATGTAGGAGGCTCTGGTAGCTGCTGGAGTATATCATCGAGGCGATCAATGGTCGCCTTGAACGGGCCGGGCCGAAGCAACAGCTCACGACCCATGGTGGGCCATTGCGCCCCCTGACCCGTAAAGACTCCGAGGATCGCGGAATTGTGGGCCTCGGCACCTCCACCGGAAGGCCCAGGCTTCCACTGAGGGTCTTGTAACTGCTGTAAAATTGACTTATGGGAAAGACCAGTCACATAGTGCTTGAAAGGGAGATTCGAGCGTTTCTGTAGCGCCAAGGATACCGCTTGCATGTCGATCGAGGGGTGGGTGGCGATGAAGCCAGCATATTGCTGTATTAAGCGGGCCAAGGACGATTGGGATGAGGCGGAGAATGGCAAGCCAATCAGCGGGCTTTCAACCGCCGGCTCATTCATTGGTTTTTCAGTGCCTTCTTTTGCTCTTCCATGAACGGAAGGTGCATAATGTTCGAGGATCTGTCATTGGCGTTAGCAACCAGATCATCGGAAGAGACATGGTGGCTTACGCAATGTGCATTGGTGCCCCCAAAACCGAAGCTGTTGACTGAAGCACGGCGAACCTGCGCCGGTGGCCATGGAATCGGTTTGGTGGGGACATGAAGGCCGTCATAGAAGGGTACAATGTTGGGGTTTAGCCGCTTGAAATGTAGGTTCGGTGGAATGATCTCATGCTGCAGGGCCAAGGATGCCTTGAGCAAGCCTGCAATTCCAGCTGCCCCCTCTGTATGACCGACAACTGTCTTAATGGACCCCACATATAGCTGGCTCTCCTGCACCTGACAGCCATCATTAGATTCGGGAAAGAACGCCGAATGGATGGCCTCGGCTTCAAGGGGGTCGCCGACGGGGGTCCCCGTTCCGTGAGCCTCAAAATACTGGCACCTGGACAGAATGAATCAGCAAATGGGAGACAAGTGATGAGTGTGTAACATACCGATCAGATGCCTGGGTAGGGTCAAGTCCAGCACGTTGGTAGGTCTGACGGATCAAATCCGACTGACTGGCCGAGGATGGCATGGTGAGTCCGTTCGTGCGTCCATCTGAATTCACTGCTGTTTCCCGGATAACAGACTCAATGGGATCACCGTCACGGAGGGCATCCCCGAGGCTCTTGAGGATCACGACTCCGACACCTTCACCGCGAGCATATCCATCGGCACTGGCATCCCACATGCGGGACTTGCCTGTTGGCGACAGCATGCGCAGATTCGACTCCGCAATGTACATCTCGGGACCAAAAATAAGATTAACACCCGCTGCCATAGCTGTGGAGCACTCTCCTTGCCGCAGGGCTTGCACTGCTTGGTGGACAGCCACGAGACTAGAAGAACAGGCGGTATCGACAGTTACCGAGGGCCCTTTCCAGTCGTAGAAATAGGACACCCGATTGGACAGAATGCTGCGTGCTGTACCTGTGGCATGATACTGCGCGAGGGCCTCCGGATCCCTTAACTGGACGTCGAGATAATCGGCACACATAAGGCCCACGTAGACCCCTGTGGGAGTGCCTCGGAGGATGTCAATCGAGAGACCTGCACTCTCTAGAGCCTCATATGTGACTTCGAGCAGTACCCGATGCTGGGGATCGATGGCCGCCGCTTCTCTGGGATTGATATTAAAGAAGTTCGCATCAAAACGACGGGTATCATCTTCGATGAAGTAGGATCTTGTGACATTAGATGTGCCATGATGGGACCCGTCCACGTTCCAGAATCCATCCACGGAGAATCGGTCCCCGGGGATCACCTTTCCCACATCTCTGGGATGTATAAGAAGTTCCCAGAGCTTCTGAGGGTTGGTAGCGTTGCCAGGAAAGCGAGATGCGCTCCCGATAATGGCAATAGGCTCTCTTTCCGGTGCCATAATGTCCCCAGTTGCAAAATCAATCAATCACTAGGAACCAGCAAGAAAGACAATGTACAACAACGCGCAGGCTACACAACTCCAAGCCCCTTGCACTTCTAGAGACTGTAAGCGGGGGACATGAGGGGAACCCATTCTACCCTTGCAGTTTTGACGGACTCCGGAGCCAAACGTAGCTCGCCTGTGATAATCCATGGAGCCTCTCCCAACAAGGCATGTTCCGACTTGTCCGCCGATATTGGTAGGCAGTGCAATTTGATATTATCTACGAGGCTAACCTCGCTAATAGCCTGATTCGGGGGAGATAGCTTCAAGCACTTCGTACAGGCGGCTAGCACAGGGCGATTGAGGCAGTATACTGAGCGAAATAATGACCCACTGAGACGAACATTTAGTTCAGACCAATCATACTAACACCTTACAGCCCTCATTCTGTCATGTTTCGTACCTGTTATGACCATGTCCATCTTTCCTTGCCCCGGACCGTTACGCCTCGTCGGATACACATAGAAGCTGAAAGGAGCGTAGTATTGGCATGCAGCCCCACCCTGTCACTCGACCATCTAGGCAGTGAGACCGATGAGACTACTGTAGATAAGATTTTAGCACTGACATAGGTAAGACTTTAGCTGTGACGATGATCAACACGAGGGAGATCGGGAATCTCTCTGATGTTACTCACCAGGTCCCCGACGTTGCTGTGAACGCAGCGGTTAGGCAACACGGAGCTCATGTCTGTAATTGGCCCCAAAATCTCCAAATAGGGACATTGGCATGTCACACCATGATTGCTTCGAGCCAAGTGGTGGCTTCACGGAAGATAAACTCTCAGGTGGGATGATACTGACCTATTCATTGTTTTGGGGGCTGTGAACCAGAGGACAGAACTATATAAAGCGTTGGGAATGCGCCCTCACAACAACTTCATTTAGACAACAACAACAACAACAACAACAACACTTCTATCTGTGCCATTACATTCTACTTAGTTGAACCACTTCATTACTCTACTTCTTCCCTCGTTATCATGGCTCCCCAGAAGCAAATGGTCCTCAAGTTGACCTCCTTCCGCTACAAGAAGGAGGGAATCTCCGAGAAAGAATTCCACGAATACGCCAGCAAGTCGCATGCCCCTAAGGCAGCCATCGTACAGGCTCGCCATGGCGCCATCAAAGTGTGCCAGGTTTGTTATACTATCCATTGCCAAGCCCCCGCCGGGGTCCTCTTTCCAAAAATGTGTATTGAAGCAGATATGCTGACGAAGGAATTTTCGAGCAGTACCACACTCCAAGCGCCAGCAAGAGGCTTATCACTGAGAAGATCCCTTGGGCCGTACGTCCAGGCTGGGAGATCGAAGATCACGACATCATGGTGTGTGTGTACGTGCCGGATGCGGAGACAGCACAGGCGATTGTGACAGACCCAGACTTCCAGAGCCTCGTGGCTGGAGAGGACGAGATCTGTGACCAGACCCGCGCCAAGTTGACTGCGGGGTGGGAGGAGGTGTTCGTGGAGGATGGCAAGGTGGTCGAAGCCGACTATGGTACATTTGAGGAGCTCACTAGCCTTGGCCATGATAGCAAGCCCACTTCGGCTCCCGAGGGCATCCGCATCTAAAAGGGAAATAGAGAAGATAGCATCAAATACCTAGTTAGCTCCGCCAATAAGATACGTGTGTGATTTGTACTATTTGTGGGACTAGCTGGGCCATAGACTGCGTAAAGTGAGGACGTGGAGTAGCAGCTTATCCTGCTCGGAAAATACATCAGTGTGGAGTAAGTGGTGCCTGTCTATAACTCAATGCAATTAATATGCATTTTATCCCCTTTCTATTGCCTTCTGCTGTACTAATTAGCTGAATCATCGTTGGTGATAAGAATGCACTCATTGGGCTCCTCTTTTGGGTTTAGCGCTGACACGATGCATCATGCTAATTTAGTGAGTTTTAGACACCTTTCAACCACGCGGGGTTGGACCCTTGTAAATGCCGAACTGTCAATCAACATCCAAATGGAGACTTCATGGGATGATGATTGAATGTAATTGGAAGGAGAAAACCAAGTGGATCCATCACTGCTCGTTGAAGACATGTCTCTGTGATTAACAGAAGCCTAGACTTACGAAGCCACCAGAACTTGCAGCCCTAGCTCGATGATGCCGCCAAAGAGGTAAGCACTAGCACTTAGCCCGAGGCATGATTTGCTATCTCGCTCTGCGGAATCCTTGTGAAAATCTAACTAACCAGTCATAAACCAAGTAAACAGTTACCATAAGTGATAATGTTAAGGGAACAAATTAAGACACAAATCAAACACCGCCCTATTCAGTCACGCGTGTTGTCCAACAGCAAACCACAAATCCTCTTTTACGCCTTCTTTGCCAGCCAAGACAGAAACGTGCTCAATAAATACTACTGGACATTGCTGACCACTCGTATTCTTCGGTCGAACTTCCCCTCCTGCCCTGGTGTGTTTCGACGGAGTATTTACGGCCGTATCGCCTATGCGCTTCCCACAGGATAGACCAATTTGCGGCCCGAAATTTGCTTACTCCGGAGCAAAGGCAAATCGCCAACAATTCGCGGCAAACCCCCTTTCTGCACTTGCAGTGGATGGGTCTGTAATTCCTCCCGTGCCAAAATGTGGGTGCAATGACGTGCCCACTCAATAGCAAATTCGCGATCTTCGGGCCGTGCAGTGCGATGATAAGACCCTGCTAGCTGGACATCCTCCCCAAAAATAGTGGCGCTGTGAATCCACTCCGGTTGGATGTTCTGCCGGCGACCCTCCAGGCGAGGGGGATATCGGTCTAATGCGCAATATCGGCCCCCATCCCCACCAATAGCGCCGTAGCACACTGTTGTGGCATGAGAGTCGGCAATACAGTCCATAGCAAACGCCAGTGTACCCTTCGTGTAAGCACGGATGTCTTCCTTGCAAGTGCGTGAGACGTAGTCAAAGGCTGCCGTGGCCCCCCGCTGCTTTACGAGCGGGAAATGCCGCGGTGAGCACGTCGTGATCGGCTGGTAGCCATGGAGTCGAAGCATCTGAATGGCCAGCGTGCCGGTCGCTGTTGAGCCTCCGTATACGAGGACAAATGGCTTGTTTGTGTTCGTTGAATCAGGGCTGGGGCTTATCTGTGTCTGCAAGCCAAGCGAACGAAAGAGTAGTCCTACAGTCATCAGACCCATACCCACAGAGGCAGCCTCTTCAAAGGTCATAGTCGGAGGCACTCGAAAGCAGAGACTCGGGTGAGCGACGATATAATTTGCAAAGGCACCATTATTGGGGCTAGTAGGACTGGCCCCAAAGACAAAGCCGCAGACACGTTCGCCGATTGACATGTTCTGCACTTCTTCTCCGCATGCAACGATGACTCCAGCAAAGTCGCTGCCGCTAATTGCGCCCGGGGTGGCCGCAGCTGCATCGAGCATCTTCCAATCAGACGGGTTGAGTGCAACGGCCCTAGTCTGCACCAGGATCTGGTCCCCTGCGAGGGACGGCACAGGGGTGTCGGTCACACATCGGAGGGAGTTGGGCCCCTGCACCACCAATGCACTTTGGGTCGTAGGTATGGCGGGCATTATGGTGAACTTTTGGCACCTCATGATGCAGCAATAGTGTCGGAACTTGGCTGGATTATATACACTGCAACTCTACTGCGTATTCCTGCAATCCTGACGGGTCCTTGTCACGCCTCCCAAGTCCCCTAGAGGACTGTCAAATGCATCTGGCCGTCTTCCATTAGCGGAGAATGGAACATTACTTTGCAAATTGCAAATATCTAGCACTGAGGCCCTCCGGGCCTTCCCCGACGTCATCAAGCAATGAAGTCGCTGGCAACCCCTCACATTCCTCAAGCGGCGCATTCAGCCCCCACGGATATATTGCATGTTATGGACAAAACCTGCCGGCTCTTGGGGCAGAAGGCCAGCCACATGCAACACGGCTCTGCCGCCTGCTTCTCTCTTAGAGGTACATACCTGTTGCGAGCCGGTGGCCCCCATGTAGTAGCATGCATGTAAGACGCAGTCTTATTCAAGCGGGATAAGGGGAAGGAAAGAAAGCTGATAGGCAATCTATCAAGGACCTCGAAAGAGGCCGTTTTATTTCCCAAAGTTTCTCACAACCACGTTTCTTTCTCCAAAGGATTCTTTGGTGTGTACTTTGTACAGGACCCTTGCTTTCCACCAGTATGGCGAACAATACCAGCGCCATGGATGCGCTTCTGAGCAATCATTCTCGTGAGAATCGAGGACCCGAGGTTCTGGCAGCATGCATCATTAGCATGTTCTTCTGTGTGCTGGCTACTGTGGTCCGCCTCGTGGCCCAGGCCACCATCCACCGCCTCTTCACACCAGATAGTATCCTTATCATGTTTGCATCCATACTAGCCCTGGCAGTGTCCAGTTGCACCATTGCTGCTGTGAAGAATGGACTAGGTCGTCATGAGGTTAGCAATACCTGAGAACCAAATGGCCTAACATAGCAGAGTAGGGCTGACGAGTTCATGCAGTACTGGGTTATGAAGGAGGATCCCCATCCCCCCGAGAGAACGGCGTTCATTTTCGAGGTGAGCTTTGAAAACATACTCTCCCTCTACGTGGTCCTAGGTGGGATGTCTAGTCATGTAACTAAATGTTCTCTTCAAACATAGATGGGCTATGTGGTTACCGTGTTGCAAGCCACAGCCCTCATGTTCAACAAGCTTTCCATCCTCTTCTTCTACCAGCGCGCCTTCACCTCCATCATAAGATCCCTACGCTACACCATCTGGGCCCTCTTTGTCTTCTGCACGGGGCTAGGTGTCGGATCTACCGTCGCGTTTATTTGCGCCTGCGTACCACCACAAATGTTCTGGTTACGCGTATATCCGATATTCGGCTTTGAACCCCCGGAGCCCTTGCACGGACACTGCGAGCCCCAGCGCTTGCATTTGGGCGTTCCCCTACTTCTCGATCTGTTTTCCGAAGTAGTTATGCTCTTGGTCCCGGTATTTGTTCTTTGGAATCTCCAGATGCCGTGCCGCAAGAAGGCTGCGGTGATCTTCACGTTTTCGTTGGGTGCGTTCGTGACAGCCATCTCGGCGGTGCGTTTCTATTATTCATGGAAGCTAGAGAATGGGGGAGATTTGTCTTGGGATGACACGGACAGTTATATGTGGAATAGTGTGCAGCTCTGCTGGGGTGTGGTGACAGCGTGTATCCCTGCATCAGCGCCGTTGCTGCGCGTGGTCCAGAAATCAACCACGGTATCTAAATCCCGCCGTCCGTTCAAACCACATGGGTATATGATGTCGACGAACGGTCGGGTTGCCCAAGGCAAAGGGCGAAGACATGCGCAGCGCCTCGATAGTGTGACTGAGCTGACTAACAGTTCTTGGGATGAGGGGGAATCGGGCCCATGGACGAACTCTGCTGATCCATCGCTGGAGCTTGAGGAGGGCAGGAGGAATAAGAATCAGCCATGATTATCGTGCAATTTCGCTTGTCAGAGCTCTCCATTTTCATGAACTCCGTGTACTAAATGTAAATAAACTAGCCTTATCAATAGCCTGTCTCTGATCTTTCGATCTTTCTCAGTGCACTCCCATTGGTCTATCATAACACTACCAACTACTACTAACTACTAGACCGGAAGAGCAATGCCGATGGTACTGAAGTCCGAAGTAGGAAGGTGAGATGTTCCAACAGTTCACCAAAGCGAAGGAATGTGATCTATGATGACTTTTTTGGTAATTGTCCAGGGATTCTCTTTGTTCACTGCATATTCCACGCTAGTAAATAGCCCGAGTGACGGACCATTGGCCCGTTGGGCAGTTGTCATCCTGCGCATCCCCTGCGCATCCCCACCTATCAGCCAGGGTCTGTAGGGTTAGCGTCCTGCGAGTGTCGCTGGCACCATTTTCCAGACCAACACATTAATATCGACTGGTAGACTTGATCCTTCTGATAAAACCTGTATGGTACCAGTGCATACCAGACGGTATAATACACACGTCGCATCGAGGCAGGATCTGGACCGAGTAAACGGAGCCCAGAGCCCCTTTCCCGTTCAACCCTTCAGCTGAAACCTCAACTCCCATCTCTACTCATCCTGGCTCAGCCTTCTTCTTCCTGCGCGCTTTAAAGGTTCACAGTTTGCCTGCGCCTCCCAATCCTTCCCTCATCCTCCCGCAGCCATGGAAGCACAACCCTCATCTTCCTCCTCGAGGGGCTGGCGTTTCTGGCTGATTATTGCGGGCTGCGCCGTTACCTCACTGCTGACGGCCGTTGAGTCCACTGTCACCTCGACGGCCCTTCCTACCATTTCTCGGGACCTGAACGCCGGAGAGTCGTATATCTGGTTTGTCAATGCTTTCTTCCTCTCCAGCACGGCCTTCCAGCCTCTCTATGGCCAACTCGCCGATGTCTGGGGCCGACGATGGCCGCTGATTTCCGCCGTCGCCTTTTTTGCCCTTGGGAGTGGAATCAGCGGGGGCGCTTCATCCTCCGGCATGCTCATTGCCGGACGCACTGTGCAGGGAGTGGGCCTGGGAGGAGTCAACATGCTGGTGGATATTGTACGATTCCTGAAGCTTGACTTCCCCTTATTTGCTTTTCTTGCTCCTGTTCTGATTCGCTGCAGGTTGTCTGTGACCTCGTACCGCTGCGCGAGCGGGGGCAGATCATGGCGCTCATCTTTGTCGTCTTCGCGGTGGGCTCGTCTCTTGGCCCGTTTATCGGAGGCGCTTTCACCGAGAATGTCACTTGGCGCTGGTCTTTCTATATCAGTTTGCCAATCGCAGGGGCGGCCATAGGCCTCATGCTTCTCTTCCTTCAGGTGAAGTATCAGAAGAACACTACACTGGTCCAGAAGCTGAAGCGCATTGACTGGCTTGGCAACGGGCTGCTCATCGCTTCGGTCGTGGCCATCCTGATCGCACTCAGCTTTGGTGGTACCACCTACTCCTGGTCAAGCTGGCATGTAGTTGTACCATTAGTCCTCGGCCTGCTCGGCCTTCTGGTCGCTTTCCCGGCTATCCAAGCAACCCCTAAGCTATGCCCCGAACCCACTATGCCACTCCGCCTGTTCGCCAATAGGACCTCCCTGGCGGCCTTCACTCTCACCTTCCTCCACGGCATGCTCCTTTACTGGACAATCTACTTCCTGCCTGTCTACTTCCAAGGCGTAAAGAGCAGCTCTCCCATCCGCTCCGGCGTGCAACTCCTCCCCACCGTCATCGTCACAGTGCCTGCGGCCATTGTCGCAGGCGTAGTCCTCACGAAGACCGGACGCTACAAGCCCATCCAAATCGCCGGCTTCGCTTTTATGGCCCTTGGCATGGGCCTGTTTAGCCTCCTCGACAAAAACTCCAGCACCGGTGCTTGGACCGGCTTCCAACTCCTTGCAGGCATCGGATCCGGCTTCGTTATCACTTCCACTCTCCCTGCCGCTCAGGCTGAGCTAGCTGAGACAGATGTCGCCGCCTCCACTGCCACCTGGGCCTTTCTGCGCTCTTTGGGGTCCGTGTGGGGAGTCGCTATCCCCGCTGCGATCTTCAATAATCAGTTCGCCTCGCGTGTAGCGGCTGCCGGACTGGATAAGGATTCACGTATTGCGGCTATACTGAACTCTAGTGGGGCGTACGAGCAGGCATCCGGGGACTTTGTGTCTACGTTCCCTAAGGATGTGCAGCCGGCGATTATCGAGGCATATACCGGGGCGATGCAGCGCGTGTGGCAGATCTCGGTTGTGTTTGCCGGGTTGGGCTTCATTATTGCTTGGTTGGAGAAGGAGGTCGAGTTGCGCACGACGCTGGAGTCGGAATTTGGATTGAAGGAGAAAGACCAGATGGAAGAGAAGAATGATTTAGGCGTCGTGGAGGAGGGGCCGAATAAGTAGTTACGTCGTAGCTACATCCTATGATGGCCATAATGTATTAGAGCCACACTGATAGATGACATGCGAAATAATACTATATATATAATCCTCTATCCCGAAAGGCAAAATCCTTCTAAATACGGACGATGAAATGAAGCATGGCCCCCTTGTCCAGGATGGAACCACATCGCTTCAGAATCGGACACCTGGAGCACAAGTCAGATACCCCAAAGCGATACGAGACTGCAATGAATTATTTGCTTGCCCTGTGGCGCACCCTGCTTATCTTCCATATCCATCTATTGCTTCCTATTCTTCAATGACATGGAGGGTCTCTCCATACCCAACAAGACCAATGAAACTCGGCCATCCTCTGCTTTGCTCATTACTTGCGGTCTTTCCATGTGTCATTTTTCATTTAGATATCGTCTTGGGCTAGTACATACGACCATAGGGTGTGGAAAACAGGGCTTCCCGTCCGCTCAGCGATACTTAAGCCATCTATTGAACACGGCTGAGTGGGATATAAGCCCTTTCTCAGTCACTGCTTTATAGGTAAGTCGCATTCTGACCGGGAACGGCCTGCAGCTGGCACCTTTCCTTATTAGAACAGCAGCAGTCTCGATCGTCAGCGGGATGATTCCCGGTCCGCGGCCTGGAACTCTCATAGTCCCCGAAACCCTGTGAGTACAAACCAGTCAGCCGAGGATGGTAAGTATTTCTGCCTTCTCTGCGCCGACAGCCTCTTTGACGACTCGCGAGTCTTGAATCATCTGACGATTCATCAATAGAGTGAGCAGCCATACTGTCAGCTTTGTCGCCGGGCGTTCTATGCCTGGCGTTATCTGCTTCGCCATCTACGCGAGGACCATCAAATGCACTCCCTGGCGGATTTTTCTGCTGGCATTGACTAGTAGATATGCTTCAGACACGGAGGCGACTCTCTGGTCAACCCTACCCTGAAGACTATAGGATATTGATTCAACCAGAAAAATGAAAAAGTAAGGCGTTGCGTAAGTGCCTCTGGAATGACGATATAACGTAACAAAATTCTCCTGAATACACCGGTACAATGGTTTATTCTATGCCCTAGACTCTTTATTCACTGCTTGCCCAGCTGCTTCAACAACCACATCTCACCGTCAAAAATCCCCCCTCGAAACCTTCCACGCCATTCCCCATGTTTCGAAAGAAATACACATTTGATATTTCCATTCCATTGACCTCCAGGAAAAGCCATATGATTGCACTGTTCTCGCTGATCGCATCGATGCGGTGGCCGCCAACCCGAGGAAGACTGCCCACCTTGTCCAATGGACCCGCGATCAATTCTGCGTACTGTGAGGGGTCGGAGAGTCGAGTCATGGTTCCATCGGTTAAGATAGAGATTGATGGAAGATAATAGGTGGCCAGTTTCGCGGCACGTTGAGTGGAGGTTTGGTACACAGGAGAGGTGAGGTCGGCGCAATAGGAGAGGATATGACGTTCGGCCGCGGCCGTGATAACGGCTGTGTCTTGCTTGCGGGCCATGATCTCGAAAGGAACTCTCGGATGGTAAGATTGATTATGACTTTGAGAGGGGTTGAGTGGATATGAAAACCGTCATCGTCCAAGTTCATCTTCTTATAGGTGAGGCGGCGGGGCGTCTTCCGCCGTCCCTCCGCTGGTTCGGTCGAATACGGCCGATTTCAGACGGATTATCTTTTATAGGATTTTGACGTAGATGACCAATCACAGAGGGAGCCAGGCAGACATCTCTTACTCTTTCCCGACAGTTCTTTCACGGTGGGTAGTCAATGCATACGAATGGAATCAGCGCGGCGTAGCGTCATGGTGAGAGACCATCGTTCGTTTACATAGGGGAGTAAGAGTGTGAGTTCACTACATAGAGATAAGACCGTGTTTTTATTACTTATTCTACCTGGTACCAATATCTACCAAAAGGCCCAGTTCATGATTCCTCCTAGCACGGGTTGCGCGTGCGGGCATTCAGATCGTCCAATTGCCCACAAGATCAGTATTCACCAAGCTATCAAAGAAGATTGTGTCGCTTTCATCGTATGGCCAATCACTCAATCCCACAATATCTTGCGTACTGGACTCTTCAGGAAGCTGAAGGTGATCACTAAAAAACTGCAGAATTGTACCATTTGGGGGCACAGCCATGGGGGATGGGGCACATTGGTGTTCAACCGGTCCTTGCGGTGAGTGTCTGGCCGGACCGGAAGCTTGATTAGGCGTGTGATCGACTGTCCTTGAAGAAAAGAACCCAGAAAGCTGTGCAGAGCGAGTGGTATGATCATCTCGCACCGTACTTGCCCCGAGTATCCGCTCGCCTTCCAGCGGCTGCAAGGCACCGGAGCGTGTGACCTTGATGGTGCCAAAGAAGGGAATCTGAAGGCGCAAGCTGCATGACAAACTCTCGTCGTGAAGAAAGCGTTGCAGGGTATGAATCACCGAGATACTCTGATCTCCTATCTGCATGCCACAGCCCTGTTGCTGCTGTGTCTCAAATCTCCGAACAACGGTCTCCACAAGCTGAGAGTCTTCCTGGCGTTCCTGCACATGGTTAGAGGCAATACTATTGCGTGGCCCGAGAAGCCCGAGTAAGAGACTTGTCGCCGCGGTAAACGCCTCGAATTCCAACAGATTGGAGAAGTAGAAAGCGTCCCGACTCTCGCGTATAGCAAGCCATCTCTTGATCAGGTTCCTACAGGCGTTGAGACAAGAAACACGACAATATTCATATCGTCGATCGGTTGTTGCACGTAGCATGAATGGTAAGTGGAGAAGATGCTCCAGCTCAAAGTGCCAGATGTGGCACATCAATCGCTCAAACTCTTGTGATGCCTTTGCCGTCCGTTGGCTTGAGATTTGGGTAGGGACTTCCCACCACGTTGCCGGCATCCGGTTTGCCATTACCTCGAGCATTTCGCACACTCGTTGAGTGGTGGAAAAGGAGTGGGTGGCATCCTCTTGGTTGCGAGCAAGAATAAGACCAGCTATGTGGTATAGATGCTTGTGATAAACATCCTCTGGTGACAGCCACAGCGCGCTGTCATCAAGAGGGAGAACGGCTGATCCTGTAGCTGAAGGTACGCCGAGAAGAGTAGACAGATAACGCTCCTAGTAAATATAAGCATCGAGGAAGCATGGAAGGTTGCTGGAGGCTTACCCCTCTTGCTACCTGATACCACAGATGGCCTCTCCTGGTGTTCATTGAGTCATGCTCTTCTGAGGACGCTCGGACGGTAACTCTGTGTAAGCCTAAAAGGTGGGATAACGTGACCGCCTTTCGATAGGAGACCCAAGACCTCCGAAGATTTCCAGCATTGACCTCATATATTCCCAGGAGAGCCAGACATTCGATTCCATCAACACTTGTAATGAGTTCGTCGTCCGAAGTGACATTCTGAACTAGAAACTCCGTAATATTCCGCCTCATTTTCCGCATTGCCACCGGAGCTCGAGGGTATCGCACATCGGCATCTGGTGGGAGCTGCTGAATGCAGATTGCAATACAGAGAAGTAGTCTGGTTATTGTGATCGGATGCCCCTGGGCAACCACATTGACGTCAAACATGCTGTGAGTCGACTTAGCTAGATGGGTCATAATATGTTGCTGGATCAGCCACCATCCGTGGCTCGACTGGAACAAAGAATCCACATCGGCCTGACAGGGTAGCATCCTAGCCAGCTTATGTCGAAGAACTCCTAATTTCTCACTGAGGGGACTGGCTTCATCCTGTCTCTGGCCCCCAGCCAGCGGAGATGCCAAGATGGACTGCGGCGGGATTGCTGTTGCAGAAAGAGCTGCAGGAGTCAAGCCACCACTGGTTTGGCCGTGAGTAATCGTCTCCATCAGCCTCTCTAGCAATGATTCCACCCTGGCCATACGACGAGCTAATGGGGAGTCTTGAACATTGTCTAACGAATCATCGTCCTCAAACGCTTGACTGATACAGGGGGTATTCCGCTCACGACAACCAGCACAAATGGGGGATTCCGGTTGTGGAATACACTTGATCTTTCGCCGCTTGCCTACTCGGTGTCAGATCCGATCTTATTTGTGGGGCAGGATGGAGAACAGGGGTTTTCTTACACGCCCAACAGCTCTTTGTCCCTTTACGCACTCTTTTGCGTCGATGCTCTGTGGATGTTGAATTCCCCAACATGTTCAGAATGGCTGCTATGAGATGGTAACTCTTGTGTCAGAACATGCAATCTTGGAGACGATTTGAAAGAGGTAGGGCGGCTGCGCTTACGCGGTTCAATTCGGCCGAATCCGGCCGAATTGGCCGAAGTGTCGGATGACGGGGCTTCTTAGCGGCCCACCACTTCTCCGGCCATCGGTGTCTCAGCCAACATGGGCCTTATCCAATACATACTTCTACAGCGGTAAAATAGAAGGATATGAATATGCGGACAAGACGCCCATTCGTGGTTATCGCCACGACCTCGTAATCAGTCAATTGATCTCAATTGGATTTGTTCAATGCGTCGGGTATTTATCGATGAGCATTGCTATTTTAAGATTCGGTTTGATTGGACCGGGTGGATTATTGGCAGTCGCATCGTTTATTATCACGACGATCTGCTGAGGAGCTGGGTGGCGGTGTTTGGAGCTGAAGTTCCTTCCAAGGAAATATGTCAGGAATGTGGTGCCTGTCAGCATGAGCCGAATCCCTCTCCAGCAACGGCACAATTCCAACATAACCCAGACAATGGGATGCTCGTGTGGATTTTTATTCTCCATTTTTGTCATGTCCTTGAATTGTGCAGTGTTCTTGCACTTGTAGTGCTTGGGAGTTTACAGGTTGCGCACGCAAATACTCATATATGTCGGGCTTTAACGAACTAGATTCCAAATGAGTTAATGCGGTTATCAAAATGAAAATTAAACTCATCATGGAATTTCCGTTCCTGATACCTTGAGCACGTTGACGCACCCATACCAGCCATGGTCACCTTGCTGTAGGCGGGGCTTTGTAATGATCTTGATATTGAAGGCGCCAGCCACGACCAACGGTTCAATGTGACACTACTGGGCGATATCCCTTCGGCCTCGCTGCGGCTTGTTTGTTAACACTTCCTCTGCCTGGATATGTACATGCATGGACAAGGCTAATTATACGAACAGGTCATTGAATGTTATAGGTTGGAGCTCCGACTACAGCTATAGGCGATGGAATAGTCTATCATCTAGTATTCCATTGGCGAGCTTGACATACAGAATGGCTTGATGGGAATCTCAAGCCTCTCTCCTGTCCAACAGGCCACTTCCACAACTTTCGAGCTACGGGGATACTGATATCTTTCGAATAACCCATCTGGGCCTGTATAGGTTACATAATGATATCTTATAAGTTGGGAGCTTTAAAGCAAGCAAGAGGGTTAACACGGATGAAATAAAGATATACTGGAGTGTGTCCTATTCTGTCTTTAAAAAAGAATGGGACCTACAGTCGACTGCACGATGCGTTTCTAGATTCCTGTCAAAGAATATTAATAGCTATTCTGCGGATGGTCATTTTCAGTCTCCTGCTAAGTCGATCGATGAAACCCGCTGGCTTAATCTGCTGCAGTCTCCGGAGGTCTGTGTCTGCTTTCCTTGGCTGAAGCTTGCGTGCCGGTGCCGTAATTTAAGAAATGAGTCGAGGGTGTGAGTGTTCATACAGAATCGCACCTGTCTATAGTACACTGGCGCTAGTCGCACGAGCGCCAAGATTGCGCACCAGCTCACACCCTTTAGGTGCACCCACCCGACTATTGACCACATGTAAGCCACACGCCGGGAGGTTAGTAGTTGCGTGGGTGACTACGGCGGCTAATAGCGGCCATCGGGCAAAAACGATTTTCACGACTAATTAACCGCCGTAGGTGACCACCAGCGAATCCCTTTTGTTGTATGTTTTGTTTCTACTTTTTGTTGATTCTATTACTCTCCGCAATATCAATGCGTTAAACGTACGGCGCACTTGGCGAGTTGGTATGCTGTGGAGGGCCCGGTCATGATGAGGGGCTGCTCGGAATGAGGCTGAAGAGGACCACCACAAAAGGTGAGCAGGCGCCCAGCCGAGAGGAGTTGAACAAAATTGATAGAACCTTTAGTAGGAATTGAGGATTATTAAGTTGATTCTCACAAGAAAAGGCGCCAGGGCTAGATTTGATGTTCATATGTATCACCAGATAGTCTTTTACCGGTTGGTGATATGGACCGTACATAATGCGGATGTGATGCATTCCTGTTGTGTCACCCAGATATCCCTTGAGCGAGCTCCAAAGACATTCTTATTACTCATAGCAGCTAGTAATAGAACTCTTTCGGTGACTTGGGCCAATGTTACTCATGAATCGCTAGCTCCGGGAGTGGTGTTTCGGTTTCATTCAAGGTCCCATAAGTTAGCTGCATCAAACCGTTGTGTAGCCTTTCTAATATTCCTCCAATAATGTATAAGATCTCAATGCCCCATGGAAAGATACCCGTCATAAATCATAAAGGCGCCCTGGGAGGCTATCATGATCGTAAAAGGGACCATATCCCATATACCAAGGGCATTTACGGTGAGAAGGGAATCAGTCCTAGCCTGACATGCTGTAGTGCAAAAATGACATCACAGCACATGTCGAATTTCCCGATCACGTCACCTACAGACGCATATCATGCTTATTTCGCAACAGAACGCATGTGAGATTGCATTCAAGGGGTAAGGTGAGTCGAATCCTCGCATAAATTGCTCGCTCCGCACAGATATAATGCCGTTAGGTTTTTGACATCCATTACAACTTATACCCTCACCCCTTCAGCATATATTATGATCGATTATCATGTCTTTTGCCGGCAAACTTGTCGTCGTAACGGGCGCAGCCTCTGGGAACGGCCTAGCCGCCGCTCGATTACTCGCCCAACGTGGTGCAGCCCTATCACTAGCAGACATCAACGCCGAAGGACTTGGAAAAGCAAGGGCACTTATAGAATCAGAGAACAGCCCTAAGTCACACATTCTCACAATAGCGTTGGATGTCCGCGATTCCGCACAGATCGACTCGTGGATCAAAAGGAGCAAAGACAAGCTGGGCCCTTTATACGGAGCAGCTGACGTTGCAGGAGTCACTGAAAAGCAATTATCGGGCGATCCTCTCGATGCTGCAGAGTGGGACCATAGGATTGGGACTAATTTGACGGGGGTACTGCATTGTGGCCGGGCGCAGGCCAGGAACGCATCTTCTGAGGGCGCATCTAATGTGAATGTCTCGAGTATCGTAGGGTTAATAGCTGTTGCAGGGGTAGGGCTGGCATACACAGTCAGTAAACATGGAGTTGTGGGATTGACGCGGAGAATTGCTCAGCATTTGGCGCCGAAGAATATCAGGGTGAATTGCGTGGCACCGTAAGTTGTCCTCTTTTGCCAATTGTGGTGTCTCACTGACTTCCCCAGTGCGGTGGTCGCTACACCACTTACTGAGAAGGCATTCAAAGACCATCAAATCCCCATGAACTTGATGCAGAGGCTTGCGAAACCAGAAGAACTAGCGAGCGTTATCGCCCTTCTTCTCAGCCAGGAAGCCTCCTTTTTGACGGGGTCTACATACCCTGTGGATGGGGGCTAGTACTGAACTGCAGTAATAGGTGCGGTAATCATTGACTGTATCATATTTGTGGCTTTAATGAGCATGTGAGATTGATTGAGTCTGCTGCACAAGTTCATCTGTTTATCTAAAGCCTGCCTAGACCGAACTCGCCAGTCTTGGAAAGCAATTGCAGAAGCCTTATGTGTCTCGAACCGATATAAATTTTGTACGATATGAACCGGGACATTTCCAAACTGCAACTTCCTCAAGTACTAATATCGAATGGTTTTGTTTTCACGATGGGTTTGTACACACTTCTTCAGAAGAACCCTCGCTTTCCAGCCAAATTTGCCCGATTGATTTTCAAAGCAGCAAGCACATGCGCATCATGCACATACGATATGCCATGCATGACTTTCCCCGTCCAGATCCTGTCCGGCTTCTGGCCCATGGTCCAGGTCTCTAACAGAAATTGCTTTCCCCTAGCAATAGCCAGGTCGGCTTTACTGTAGTCACTGGCAATTATAGCATGCGACGCTAGTTGGGCAAGAGCAATAATTGCGTATGCTGTCTCCTCAGCCCCGTGCATGTTACCCCAGGAGCCATCGTCGTTCTGTGCACATATCACACAGTTCAGTACCTCTTGCAGACATTGAGGAATACGGTCTAGAATGAGATCTTCTGTGAGACCCGGTAGACATCCCTGATCCCAAAGGACCCTGACCGGGACCAATGATTGGGCCATATGCATGATCCCATAGTACTCGGAGAAGTACTGAAGAACAATTGATCAATGCTATGCCATACAAAAGCGATACTACATATCAGCCCACTTACCCAATGATCATTAAGCATCTTCTCCTTGCTTCATTTGGAGCACATAAACTTGGCAATCTTCTCTATCTGTGGGGTGTAGGCACTGGGATCGGGTGATGAAAGCAGACAGTTTAGAACGTTTCCGTTGACGTTCACGCTCGTCACACGTTGGGGCATTCTGTCATCAGAAGTCTCGAAGCAGTCATCCCCCTCGAAGTTCTTGATTAGGTTTGCTCGGCTAATTTCATAGCGGTTGTTATTGAGGACCATCAAAGCACGTGCTGTATCGTCCGCGTCGGGGAGGAAGGTATTCGCTGAAGGATTACGAGTTAATCACCGCAATGGATATACTGTCTGGGTTATACCCACTAGCACCAACCACACCATTGGGCATAGACCTACGAATCAAGTCAATCAGATCGCCCACGTATTCTGTACCTATATTGTCGACCGTGAAGCCGCTTTCTAGCAACGTTGATAAAACCTATAGCAACATGTGTTAACAGCACTTCCGGTGGTTCGTTTGACTCGCCTCGGTAAATGCAACTTACCCAGCAGGGCTCGCATACCTCCAGGGGATATACTCCCCCGACCCCACCATTTCCCTTCCCTTGGCCGTGCAACACAATGTGCCGAAGATACGCCTCACACTCATCACTCCACGTAGGAGAGTATATCAAATACGCAGCTGCAGAGGCCGGAGAGGCTGTGATACCCGCAGAGGTAACGAGACTTCCCAGCTTGCTCCAATCAAGCTGCCTCGCGAAACCTTCCAACGAAAACAATGGGATACCGCAGGGGCCCTGATATAGCCAGCTGATGTCAATGCTAGTGGCTGCGGCATACTTGCTCAGCAAGTCATTCTTGGCAGGAAATTCGAAATCCACACCCTCTTCACTCAGAAGGTGGAGTAGAACCGGAACAATCAGTTCAACCGTGAAATGGATGGCTTCGTCTGGTTGCCAATTCTGCAATTTGGCATCGAGAAACGACTTTGCGCGGAACAGTCTGAACAGAATATCATCAGGTAGTGGTTCTTTGACATGAGATGAGCAACGCCGGACATGTCTACATAATGCGAGTAAGGCAGCCAACGAATGGACGACAGAACCTTGAATCCAGATATTCTCGGGGTATTCACTGTGCTTTTTGGTAACACCTTCGAGGGGATCCCAGCCACCATCATCTGTTTGTTCGCGGAGGAGGTACTCGAAGCTGGTTGGGAAGACCCATTCGTACCCCTCATCCTTCTTCTTCTCGACCATAGCAAGCCATGCAGTGTCATAGATAGATGGAGCCATAGAGGACAGTCCATATTTTGACTTTGAATCAGAGGCGACCTTGGCAACGAGGTCTTTGGCACATTGAACTAGTATAGAGGAGCTCATACTGGGCTTCAATCAGAAGTTTTGCTTGATATGCTACCAATAAGGGACAAACCTGAATTGGGAGAGATAAGATAAGAACAGGTATTCTTGTCAATGAACTTTCACGGAATGTTGTATTTTAAAACTATATGATATGGTTTCCCTCAGATCTTGAATCTTGCGCCGATCTGTGGCTCTTCTACGGCAGTCACGCTTGAAGTAACCCCTAGCTATGTGTTGTGGACTCCTGACCTCTCTAATGTTATCTGCAAGGTATGAAGCCTCACGGTCACACGACTCCAAAATGAACTGCGGCTATCATGAATGATGACGTTTATAAGTACTCTGGCCTACGATACGAGCGTTCTGCATAGCTAGATTGGCTGGGCGCCGGGCTCACGGAAACAAGGGGTAGATGCATCTACGCTGTGTAACCGCGCTGTGGAATGTGTGGACAGTCATGATTTTATCTCTCATCTGAGATTGTTAAGTGGTATCTTAGAGCGCATATCTGAAAGCTTAAGTTCAAGGAACATGTGTTAAATTAATACACATAGCAAAATAAGTGCTTTCAAAAGCGCGAAATATCATCAATCCCGCCGAAGCCGCGACTTTCGCAGTATGTAGGGGGGTGCGCGGTCCCTTGATACCACGAATACATAACATCGGCAGATAAGCATAATACTCGGAATTATAAGTACTACACTTATCTCGTATAATAATCAATATATTGTCAGTCAAATAGGATAAGCAGTCCACCATGGAGCGACGCCAAGAGCTTTGTCAATCACTCAAAGGACAACGTGCTGTTCTACCAAATCTTTACTCCTTATTCCCGGACTGGACTCCTCAGTTGCACCCCGAATATGCGAGAGCTCGAGAAGAATCTACTGATCCGTGGATTAAACGGTACGTCGGTGCTTCATTGATTCTGAGAACAAGCAAATTCCAAGCTTACTCCAAAAAAAGCGTTGTTGAGAACCCAGATATTCGTCGGAAGCTCCAGGAAGCAGATTGCACAACATTTGCGGCGATTATGTGCGCAAAGTCTTCCTTCGGGAGACTCTGCACGGTCGCGAAGTGGTTTACTTGGGTAAGTGTGCCTTCCAAACTTTTCGACACTGGACTTACTATAATTCAAGTACTTCATATGGGATGATTGTATGGGTTCCCGTCTGCTATGCCCCCAGCACTATACTGAGCTGAAACACCTATGAAGTATTTGACTGTGGTTCTCTTACCCACGACCCAGAGACTATCACGAGGTACAAGCATACTAGTATGGAGTATTTCAAGCATGTCCTCTGCCATGAGGCAGAGTATCCAGACCTATCTGAATACTCTGAAGAACTCCAAAATGCGCTAAACTGCTGGGACGAGATATCAGAACATGTCCGCCAGGTGTGCTCCAAAAGAACGTCTTGATCCCCTCCATAATCCGTTTCGTCTTATACTGACTGTCACTAAATCAGTGACGCGCAAAGTTCTGTTAGTAGCAATGATAGACTATGTGTCAAGTGTTGATTACGTGGATTCGATCTATTCGGATAATAAAATCCCCTCGTTACAGCAGTACTGGTGTCGACGGGATCGCACGGCTGGTGTTCATCCTGTCATTGCTACTATTCCGTATGTCTACATAAATCTCGCGTCGAGTAGGAGCTGACATTTGCGTGGTTTTATCTATGGCTTTGATATCTCGGAGCGAGATCTAGACGACACGAACATGAGATTACTCCGAAAACATACCTCGTACCTTGTCCACATGTGAGTTTAGTCACGTATCATACAAGACTTCTGCTAAGTTTCGACAGACAAAATGACATGTTTTCAATGAGAAAGGAAGCGGTATATGGGTACCTGTCATATGTGATGTCACAAACAGCTAAATTTTGTAACAGAAAGTTGGACAGGTCGAGAGCCTCGTTCCGATAATCATGCTGAACGAAAGTCTGAGAGCCAGCCAGGCAATGAAAGTGGCCTTTATGCTAGCTCAGGAATCAGCAAGGGGCTTCTATGAAGTGGTTCATAATATGCGGCAGACTGCCAAAGGAAGACACCGCGCTGTCGCGGATATTTTTATTGAAGGATGCAGAAACATCGTCATGGGGCTCACTCATTGGAGGTAATGCATATATTCTTGCTGATAAGTGTTGCATCCAACTAATCACTGCTAGCTACACCGGGGAGCGATATTTCACAGCGGGCGAGGCGGATGATGATAATACCATACATTTTGAACTATAGGAGAGAAACACCTTTCCCATTGGTAGTTCAATTTCATTAGTACTCAGAATTTTGCATCTTCTTCACCTGCTATTTCGCGAACAAAAGTCAGGCGTCAGACCCTTATCGATCATCATCTTAATTAGGATGCACGTCACCCTTTAAAGCACATCTTTAGAGAGAAATCGACATAGAGTTTATCTGCAGTATGACAACATTCTTTTCAGAGTCACCGAAGCATGCAAAATCTAACTCTGAGGTACTGTTTATGTTCTGGAATCTCCTTTTCATAGTGATTGATTAGATCATCCGAATATAATTTCCACGCACGCTCCCCAGATTCCAACACGCAAGGGATGACAAGTTCCGCGGAGGTGGGGGGTGTTGTGGCGCAGTCTGATCAACATCAACCCGACGAATGACCGTTGTGGGACACATATGCATTATGCAGCACTGTCACGCATCACTCATCACACAGGCATGCAATGCCATCACACAAGGGAAGTTCAGCCGGAGAACAGTTCCACAATCCCAACAAAACTTGCGGCTGCATGAAGGGTCAATCGGACATAACCTTGAATTGACAGCAGACTGCGAGCGATGGCATTATACTCAATGTGCTCCCTACATTGAGATGTGTAACAGGCGCGACTATTAGATTCTAAGAGGCTGACAGTCCAGTGGTCTAGTGTTGCAGATCTATCTGTCAGATGTAGCATCCCGCAAGCTGATTCGTGGATCTGAGTCATGTCATGGTTAAGGCCTCCAACCGGAATGAACGAATTGGAATGGACTCCGGTGAAGTAATGCACACTGAAATTTTATGAATGATACAGTTTTGCTTTTGTAAATAAATGTAGTAGACACTTAGCGTAAAGGAGTACGAGCTGATACTGTGGTGTTTGATAAGGAGGGTGTACATTCTGACAGTGTATATGAGGAAGCGCTAAGAACGAATATGTTCGGATTGAGATTCGACTTGGCTTGAACAATGGTGTAGCAGAGAAAACAAGGGCTAATACAATAGCTGCCTTTAATCGTGATGCATAAAAGTTCGTGACTATTGAGGAAAGCCCCTATGGTCTGAACAAACAGAGGTGAGCGATGTCGTAGGCTTGTGCGGTTCGTCAATATCCTAGGATTAAATTAGTCAGCTCAACTTGCCAGCTATAGCACACTGAATGATACTACTAAGGGAAGCAAATTAAGTACCATTTGGAATACGTGAGTAGCCACCTAAGCCCCTCATGACGTCCAGCTAGTGTGATTGGCGTGTCCGTAGCGGATACGTCGCCTGCTCATTATCGCATCGCTGGGAATGTTTTCGACCTTTTCAGTCCTGAGGACAAACTGAAAGAAGAGCGACATCAGGATGATGATCAAAAGACCGGTTAAGCAAAGGACTGGTGTAGGCGCCAGAAAGCAGAACGCCGAGGAGCATACGTATGCTGAAAACATGATTGCAATGTATCGTAAAGACGACCAAAGTTGTGAGCTGGACTGATTTGTATCTCGCCCGAGAACAGAGACCGGGCGTACCTAGTCTGCGGTTAGGGCGGTCATGAAACCCGTTCACTTGGCTAGATAAGCAATAGGCCGCTATATATGGTGGAAATTACATATCAGCTGAGGCTTTGGCACGATTATATCCCTCAACGTTTTCAACGGTGGGGTGGATGAGGACATGACTTGATCGTCGCAAAATCAGTTGCAACTTGAATCTAGCCAGGTACTATTGTGTAATGGTCAGATAAGGTGGCGAATTTTTTCTTGTCTGAAGCGTACGACTGGTTTGGTAGCTAGGGGGATATTGTCTACGATAAGCCGTTGGTCGATTTCCGGTGTAGAGCACAACACGAAGCTATGCATGTTCAGAAAAAGTCCGAAAATGGAGAGAGAGTAAGAAATGTGATATGTCAAAGAGTTGCAAGGCTTGCGTACCCCAACTTCTAGTTCCTTTTCAGCTGGTGGGTCTTTTTCAGCTTCAGCTTTGACCGGCTTGAACGAGACACCTGTGACAGGCTATACAGACGACCAGATAATCTCCTACGATGCTCAGCAGAGTTTTTTTTTTCATTTGCAGAAGCGCCTGGACCATACTGTGTAGAAGGGGGCACTTCAGAGACAGCTGTAATTACTGCCGATCTACTCAAGGAGGGTGGAATTGGGAACCTTGCCCTGCAGGGCGATGAGAAGGGAAGGAGGCTGTGCCACATGGCTGATGCAAACAATACGGCTGGGTGACTAGGCAAGATTATGGACGAATTCCAATCGAGATCCAAGTCTCTAAGTGGTCTGATGAGTGGAGCACAAGGACTTGCTCATACCCACTATAGGCGGCTTCGTTCTAGGAATTAGGGACTGTCGGGGGCGATCAGGGATATAATCATGACAGCCTGCAGAAGAGGGGCAGCGACTGTAGAGTGGCGTTGCGGTTTCAAGTGTTGGAGCGCTATGCTCAGTCTGTCAAAGCGGGTGGAGATTGCAACATGCCAGCACATTACGGGTGGAGTTATGCACTTGTCGGTCTTCTGTATGCAGCTCCCCGAATTGAGGAAGAAGTTTCTGAGATATTTTGTTCGATCGGAAACACCGTGGTGGAGAAGGGTTACACGCGGTGGCCCATACATCTCTTGTAGGGAGATAATGTTGACATGATTTTTGTATATTATCCTTTTTTTATTGTGATTTATCTATTTATTTATTTTCTGTTTAATTTTCTTTCTATTTTATTCTGTAAAATGGCCATTCAATAGCACAATGTTTAGTAGATGGGGTTTGTTGTTGACCAGAGATTAATCGAAATAACCCCACCAGAACGACCGATGGAGTCTGTCATGATTTAGAGTTCACACTTATGCTTGACCTGCTTGTCTCAGGACACTGGTGGCTGGCTGAAGTGGTTCTTGAATTATGGCTCACAGGCTGGCCCGTGTCTGGGCTGAACGGCTGGCTGGACGGAAGGATGGGCTGAATGGTTGAATCGGCTGTGGCCTTTGTTTGGCGAGCCTTCTTCGATCTATAAAAGAGTCCAACCACGAGTGTGGCCATGAATAGAAATCAACCCAAAAATCTCAGAGATATCTGGCTTCAAGAAATTCATTGTCTTGAAACTCTTTGTTAGAACGATTTCTCCGTCCTCTCTTTTTCTGTGATCTCTCTTTTCATCTTTCCTTGCCTTACCCTTGCCGCCGAGAGACCACTTCATCTCTCAAGCATTCCTTTCCCAAGATGGGATACATTGCGCGGACAAATGACCTTCCCGATATTGCTCGTAAGGGTGGTCTCGTCGACCCTCGAGCTGAGGACCAGCCTCTCTTCTTCGAGCGCATGTCCTGTCGGGATGTCAACGAGTTCGTTTCCAACCCGGCCAATGCCTCTCCCTTGAGATCAGGAACTCAAAGCGTTGCCACTAAGCCCACTAGCTTGGGCATGCGGTTGCGCGAGCCTGCTATCCAGAGCCAGGCCAAGATCGACGAGTTCCGCGCACGCTCCGAGGAGATCAAACAGCGTATGCCAGTCAGGAACCCCAAGCAGCCCATTTCTGACCTGGTACCTGGCCTGGTTGTCACCGGTGGTCTCAGTCGCTCGCCTGCTTTCGATTGTCTTCCTGTCTTCTCCCACTGGGCTGACCGCACTGGCGAGCTCTCAGCCACTGACCCTGCTGCTACCGTCCGGCTTACCTCTACCTGGGGTACAGCCCATGTCGCGGCAGAGGGAGTGAACATGGATACCCCTCGAGGAGCTCACGCCTGGTCACTCAAATCACACGGCATTGGCCCTGCCGAGCCCGGAGCAAGCAAGTTCTCTCAGCAGTATGACGCTGAAACCGACACCCTCACGACAACCGTTAACGTGGCACGCCGCCAGGATACGCCTCGAACGGACGGTGTTCTGGCTGCTGTCGCCAATGTCTCGTGGATGCGCAACGCACGTGTTGCAGATGCCGTTGATTGTGCCGCCGGTTTGCTCGCAGACGCCTCGACTCTTTTGGAGGCCCGCGACAGAATGATCGCGACCGGCGCCCCTGAGCGTGTCGAGTTTGCCGAGGTGCGTCCAGTCGACATGCCCAGTTGGTGCTCTGCCCGCAAGCCTCTCGCACCCAAGCTGAGTGGCGTGGCTGTCGCATCTGATCCAACCGCAGTCAACCTGTTTGCCGGGGAGGACTGCCAGGGACCCATCCTCAATACCAGTGTGTTTGCCATGACAAGTGGTTACAACCGTGGTGTCTACGGCGGTTCCATCTCTGGTTTGTGGTCAACCATGGACGCATCTTTTGTCATGGATTACTCCATTGGTGTCCACAGCGCTGCCATGGCAGACAAACTCACTATTGCTTTCGCCGATGCAGCTGCAGCTGCTGAAAAGTCTGCCTATGCCGGCCCGCACATTACTGACATTAGTCTTGTCAAGGGCTGCAATTACTCCTGTCTGCGCCAGAAGACCGTCATTGAGGATACTCATCCAATTCCTTCTCGTCCTACCATCGTTGTGTGGGACGATCTTGCCCGCCTGGCCCGGTACAAGTTGGCTGACGCAGTCTTCTGTCACGTCTACTATGATGGAGGTGGTAGCGAGCACATGGCCGCCATCGCTGGTCTGGGTTGTGTCGCACACGACTGGATCGATCTCGGAGCCGATGTAGCATGCGGTGAAGTCAGCAACATCATCCCGTCGCTGACACGAGGATCCCTGGAGGAAGCCCCCTTGGCCGAGGTTTACGCTCGCATAATCGGCGCTATGATCTGGTACCGGGAGAACGACCCCTACAACCCAGCAGCCAATTGCCTTCTCTTCACCCACTGGTGGCAGCTCTCTAACTGCCGCCACCGCCCTGTCACTCTCCTCGGTCGCACTGATCTCCCTGTCGATGCAGGCATCGTCCCGATCATCCCTGACGAGCGACCTCCCTTGGAACACTTCCGAGCAAATGGCACCAAGGTCGAGCGCGGTGAGTGTGCCCTTGCCAACGCCGAAGCCCGTCTTGAGGCCCTCATTGCCTCTGACCCCTTGCCGGAGACTCGTGCTGTCATTGACCTTCTCGTCAAGCCTGTTCTCGCCTACGTCAGGGGCGGTGATACCTTACCCTCCGAGAATGAATATGTCGGAGCTACCCTCGCTGCTCAGGTGGCTTACCCCCAGGATCAGAAGATCCTCGAGATGTGGGATCTGGCTATCGTTATGTGGGAGTGCGGTGCGCTGTGGGCGTCGGGAGTGGCTGGTCTCTGCTATACTCATGCTGGACTGTCCAACTGCGATAGGGCTCGCAGGGACTTGTCGGACACTACTTGGAGTTGAATTTGTTGCAACGGGATGATACACTAGGATAGGACGCTTCCATACAGCATTAGTTATAGGAATGATTACTTCAGATTCTCTTTATGATACTCACGATCTTCAAATACTTACCTTGTATCTACATTGTCTCGAGATATGGTCAAGCTTTTCACCAGGCTATACTAAGAATAGGAGTTCCTCTTTTCTCTCTAGAGCGACAAGAATGTGCGATCTGTAGACTTGAAATACAAAACTCGCCCCGCCGTGGTTTTCCACATGTAGTACCTATTCTCCAAGTTCTCACTCTGCCATCCCCTACCTTTGTGATATTACTTTGTATGTCTATCATACTGAGAAACACTTCTTTTTGCTACTATAGCCTGAATCGACCTGTCCACACTGTGGCTCGCCTCGGGCATACTTAGGGCCTGTACTCCATATCGGGTTAGGCGGTAATTATGTAGCACGTCGTACTGTAATTTACCGCAATTGCTGCGGCTAAGCTTCCCCGTCAAGCCACACTGGCCAAGAGAGGAATCGGCCGGGAAAGCCTGTCAGAGATCGATTGTATTCCCCTATCCTTATCAAGTATCATCGATCCTATTGATTATATTGACCCCTTCATTTAGGGCCACAATCGGAGATAACTACAATTACTATCTAGAGTAGTAGTGGAACGGCATCTAGATTCCAGTTTCTAATTTGATATTAAGTTTATCCACTGTTGCATTGACCATGTTGGGCTGCATGGTTTATATGCGAAGTTTAAACCAAAAGAGGAAAGACGCTACCTGACTGCAGATGCTTGCCGTAGATCCCGACGCAAGACTAAATAAAATCCCAGCAACAGTGTCATTCACCACTCAACGAGAGATCCGTACATGATGGAAAGTACTAGAAATACTAACGTTGCTAGAACTATCTTTAGAAAGGTTGCATGTATTGAACGCTCATTCAAACGTGCTGGTTACTCTTCGGCTCACAGTTTTGCAATTCAGTAGTCATGACACTGAGTTCTACAAAATGTACACTCCATATTTGTATTTGGTGGCATGCAGATGTATACTCATACTCTGTACAGCCTGCTCTTGGCCGTCAGCTCAATGACACTCACTATACCTCAATCCATAACAACCATCGCACAACAAAGCCCACCCAGATCAACAACAGCCCCACTGGAGTCGATGACTAACGTGCATGACCTCATTACAAATCAGACACTGGCTTCCTTTATTTAATAAACATCATCATCTAAACTAAAGTACCCCTAACCCTACCCCTCACGAGCTATAATCTGATCTTCATACTACTGACGCCCGTCAGCACTCTATTTTTCATCCCACCAACCACACCACTTCCACCACCACCACCGCCACCAACAACAACCGACGAACTACACCACCAGCACAATAACAACCAATATGTCCCTCCCCTCCACCTACCTCGCGGCCACCGTGCCCTCCCCCCAATCGCCCACGACCCTAACCACCAAACCCCTCCCGACCCCCTCGACCAACCAAGTCCTCATAAAAATCACCGCCACGGCCGTGAACCCCGTCGACTGGAAAATGCGCGACTACAACTTCTACTTAACCGAATACCCGGCGATCCTCGGCTCCGACGCCTCGGGCACCATCGCCGCCGTAGGCCCCAACGTCTCGACTTTCACGCCCGGCGACCGGGTCTTCTTCCAAGGCATAATCGGCAACTACGCCGCGTCGACCTTCCAACAATACTGCGTGATGCCAGCAGAACTCGTCTCCAAGACCCCCTCGAACATCTCCGACGAGCAAGCCGCGGGAATCAGTCTAGCCAGTGTGGCCGTTGTGACGGGTATGTACGACAGCACAGGGCACGGGATCACGCCTGCGCCTTGGGCTGAGGGCGGATCCGAGGCAGGCAAGGGCAAGGCGATTGCTATTCTGGGCGGAGCGTCGAGTGTGGGACAGTATGCGATTCAGTTTGCGAGGTTGAGCGGGTTCACGAGGATTATTACGACTGCGAGTGTTGTGCATAAGGGGCATTTGGAGGGGTTGGGGGCGCATGTGGTGCTGGATCGGAAGGTGGCTAAGGCGCAGGACTTTGTGGATGCTGCTGGGGAGGTGCCGATTAGTTATGTGTTTGATGCGATTTCGATGAAGGAGACGCAGGTGTTAGGCGTGGAGATTGCGAAGAAGAGTAAGGGGACTGCGAAGGCGGTGGTTACGGTATTGGGTGCGGAGAAGGAGGCGGAGGAGTTGGGTAAGGAGGGGGATCAACAGGTGGAGATTCGGCCGATTCTAGGTATTGGGGCTTCGCCTAAGTTGAGGCATATTAGTGAGCCTATGGTGAAGGCGCTCGGGGGTGAGGATGGGTGGATTGCGAAGGGCTTGTTTGTGCCGAATCGTGTGCGGGTGGTGCCTGGTGGGTTGGGGGCTGTTGAGGAGGCATTGAAGACGAATAAGGAGGGTGTTTCCGGAGAGAAGGTGGTCTTCCGGCCTAATGAGAGTGCGTAGATAGAGTTACTAGTATATACTTGAAGATCTGTATAGTCTAATGTATTATCATTGATTCGTGAGTACTCCCCCTGTGAAGTCTAATAACGGAGACAAGCATCATACAGCATGAACAGAAACCAGATTCAGAATACAGGGGTAGTAGTAAGCCAGCATAAGAAGAAAGCAGAAAACATGCTGAAAATGAGACACACTATTATACAGTTGTCATAGGGACAGAACGGGGGTTCACGCGTCAACGGTAGTCGCAAGAGCCTGCTGTGCAAGTTTGCGGTTCCGCTTCACTAGGGCGTTGAGCTTCTTGTCGATCGTGTCTAGCTCCTTGCGAGACGATTCGAGGTCCTTCTGCGACTTGACAGCAAACGAACGCAGCTCCTCATTGGTCATTCCAACCACATCGTCCAAGTCTGGGATGTTGCCCATGACCACCCCCGCGGCACCGAGCATGTGCTTGGCAGTAGCGGCAGCGAAGGATCGCACAGAGGTGGCAGTGGCATTGACCAGCTCGGCGGTGTTGGCAATGGCCCAGTTATGGCTGCGAGTGCTGTCCGCCTCCATGGCCGACAAAACGTTGGGAGGTGCGGGAATAGTGGATCCACTCGCGTCAGAGAGGGACATCCCGGCAGTGGGAGAGCCAGAGGTGAGGCCAGCCGAGGTCTCGTCGACCCAGCAGATGTTGAAGTTCTCAGGGGTAGCAAACAGTGCGTCCAAGCCACCACCGCGGTTGGTCACATCTGGTTCCGTGATTGGCACGTTCGAGTACTCCTGGAAGGTATCAATTGCCCAGGCAATGTTCTTCTCAAGCGCGAGGTACCGCTCTTCTTCCTCTGGCGACAGATGGTGTAGGACGCACCCACGGGGACTGATCAAGCATCGGTCTTTCAGCATATTCGAGTCCGAGTTAACACGGATGGCTTCTCCGCGCATCAATGCTTTGCGATGCTCGTCGGTCAACTCGATAGGCTGTTTGAGAATGTCGTAATCATCCGCTGTGCACTTCATGTCGAAGCGCTGGCTTAGGTTGGCTGGGTTGAAAAGGGGATGATTGTTCAGATCTAATTCAGCAGACTTGTGAAGCTGAGCAAGAAGTACCTGCAGCGGAGACGTGCGTTCCGCGAAGAGCTCCTTGACCGGGACCCCGCTGGATTCGGCGTCCTTCATCAGCTGCTCGACCGTGTTCTTAGAACGCCATGCTTCAGCAGGTGCCTTCTGTTCAACAGTAACCTTCTCCTCGGTAACAGTTGCCTTGGAGTCCTTCGTAGCCTTCTCATTCGATTTGTTCTTCTTGGCCGCTTCTGTCCGCTGGCTAGTCTTCTCATTGCTATCGGAGCCTGCGGAGTTGGCAGACTTTCCAGTCTCAGTATTATCCGGAGCTGTAGCTGGCGAGTCGTTCGAGCTAACAGGAGTCTTCTTGGTCTTGCGCTTTCGACCGATGATCGGGGCCTGCACTGGTTCCTCAACGACGGCAGTGGCCTCTTGTTTCTTGGCTTCCATTTCCTTGGCCTTCTGTCGCCGTTCCTTCTTAGCCTGGCTCTTGGTCATCGCCCGGACAGGTGCAGAGCCAATTCTGGATGAAGCGGGAGGAGAGTTAGCACGGGACACGGATGCCGAAGTGTAAAGATCGGCTTCCGAACCCAGGTCGCCGGGCGTATCGGGCCTGCTGAGCGACGAGATACTTGGCCGTCTGGAACGCGCTTTTGTTGCAGCAGATATGGACGCGACAGACTGGGTGGCAGATGGGGCGGCGGAGTCTCAGTCTTCGGCGTGTCAACCACACGGAGAACTCGAGGTTGGCGGGGAGCGGACGAATCGGAAACACGGGAGACCCCAGTCAAAGGTGTATTCGGACGGGAACCAATCGTCGAAGTGGGCACCGGGCCATGAGCATGGGATTGACTTGGTGTATCGGGCTTTGGAACATCATGAGACTGAGAAGTACCCAAGGGAAGCTCCAGCTTTATGGGCTTAACTTTGCCCGTAGGCGCCGAGGTTTTCTCATTGTTGTCTCCAGCCTTCGAAGGGCCAGCTTTCTTGTCAGCAGCGACCATCAAATCTCCTTTCTGCTGGGCGCGAGCCTTGTTGGCTGACTTTGGCACAGGAGAACCGAGTGATATTTCGGACGCATTCTTGACGCGACTTGAGGTAGGGGCATTGTCAGGAGTGTCCTTCAAGTCCGGAGAGGCCTGGCGAGAGCCTTCCTGTAGTCCTTGGCCCGGCGTGCCTAGCCTATGGAAAGGCGGATTAAGACCTGGCGGCACAGATGGCGACGAGACTGGACTGGATGGATTGAGCGGACTTTGAAACAAGGCAGATGCGGGATGAGCGTGTGGTAGAGGAAGTCCCGGAGGCAGGGTAGGGGTTCCAGCACGGGCCGAGCTTTGCGAGTCACTGGAGAAATGCGAGCGCACGAGATAGCCAAAGCTGTCAACTGGACGCTTGTCCTTTGGCTGAGCTCCAAGAGGAGGGAATTCTTCGTCCACTAGAAGCGCTGTTAGCTTCTTGACGTCTGCAAGACGATGTGTGAGTGAGGCGGATGACAAGGATAACGCAAAGGAACCCCTCCCAACGAGACAAGCAGAAACAGATAGAAAAAGGGCGTGCCCGTGGACTCCTAGAAACAAAACGAGACGACAAAGGTACGGAAGGGCAGGCATATTAATTACACAAATGTCCCGGCCGATGCAACCAGACGGACACACAAGGCATATTGTCTATAGAACAATAATTGTGAGAAATTGGTTTCGCATAGAGGGCCCTGCTCGTGTTTATCGAAAGCCAGGGCAGGGAGGTTAACGTACATAAAGCCATGACCAGACCGAATGGGCCACCAAGATGCTGATAGATCAACCCAGCTTGGATGCAAAAGAACAAAGTATACGACAGCCACCAAAGCGCAGTGGACCTAGAAGACACGATGTGCCCATAAAGTGCAAGGACGCCCCCCATCCACACGGAAGCCGGAGACAACACGCAAAAAAAGAAACATGACGTGACAGAACAAAGAAACATAAAATCAAGAACAATCATGAAGATAACGCCAAGGGCACGCCTAGCCCGAATTCTTGTTGTTTTCAAGAGCCGTTTGCTTAATGCTTTCGTTGCAGAGTGGAAATATGTCGCAAAGTTTTCAACATCGAATCAATGAGTCCGGAAAACTGAAACATAAGAATCATATCCCACGCCCATCTAGAGAAATATGATATCATGTCATCAAATAAAAAGGGAGACAGAAAAAGAAGCATGGGCAAAGAGAAACAGAATGCAAAAAGGGTAGTCATCATAAACAACAGGGATAGAAGTGAAGGGCGAGGGAGGGTTATTAATGAATTATGAGAAAGGGGGGCAAACAATCACCAGCGGTTGAAGCCGCTGCCATACATCATGGCCTGATTGTACCCACCTTGACCCTGACTCCCGTACAACGCCTGCCCAGCAGCAGCGGCGGCGGCAGCATTCGCACCAACCTGGTGCATCCTCGCCTGTAGGATGCTCGGGTCCGCAAGATCTACTACACCGCCTCCACCGGAGGAAGTGTTAGCGTGTCTGTGCTTCTTCCCCTTCTTCTTCTGCTTCTGTGGACCAGACTCGGAATAATTTCCCGCCTGAGCACCATAGAAAGAGCTGAGAAGGCCATTGCCGGGAGTCAGGGGAGGGGGAGTTTGGTGCTGTTGGAGGAAAGGAAACATGAACTCACGCTTAGCGGCCTCTTGACCCTGCAAACCACCGGCATTTGCGCTACTGCGGCCTCTCAGCAGCTCACGCATCAACTCTGGATTGGCTTCTTGCTTTCCGAGGTTGGATCCCAAACCGACATTGGCATTCGTTGTGAAACCGTGACCCTGTGCGAACATGCCGCCGCCGCTGATAGGCGGAGTACCCGCCGTCTTCAACCCGGGGGGTGGACCCTGCACGCCACTAGTGAAGTAGTTGCCAGCAAGACTATGCTGAGGACTAGGGGCTGCGAGCGGGTTAGGAGTACCAGCCTGCATTTGGCTCAACATGCGCACATTAGGCATGTTCTTGGCATTGGCCTCATTGGCGAAGGTGAAACGAGAGTTCTGGCGACTTTGGGCCTGCAGAGCATTGAACTGTGCCATCTGGCTTTGGAGTAGACCCTGACGGACCTGGGCTGCTTGGTCAAGAACAGCGGAGTTGAGTCCACCCTGCAGCTGATCAACCAGGCCAGCCTGTTGGTTGCCGGCAGACTTCAGGAGAAGCAACTGCTGTTGCTGCAGAGGGGTCAAGCTACGGCCTGCCAGGTTAAGTTGCTGGAACTGGTGACTGGTTGCCGAGACGGGGGAGCCAACCACGGAGTTTGTCGTCGTGCCCTGCTGGGAGGGAGGTTGAATAGCACCATGAGATTCGCGACCACTACGGCCTCTCGGAGGCACTGCGTCATCCGGCTCGCCACCGAGCTGCAGGCTTCCGCTCTCACGGCTCTCTTCTTCCGCAGCAGCAGACTGCAGTAGCTCCTGCTCCCGCCGGACACGTTCCTGCTCCGCCTTCTCACGCATAGCTCGGCGTTTCACACCACCATAGGGATCGATGAACGAAGGGTGGTTCTCAATAAGGGCAACCTCCTCCGCAGGCAGACCAGCCGCCGAGAAAATGAATTTGAAGTCTGGGGAGTTGACAGCCTTGACCAAGTTATCCAACAAAGGCGTCTCCGGCTTAGGTGGCGTCTGGACAGTCGGGGGGGAACTGGACGGCGAGGATCGTGCTTCAGAAGAGGGGGACGGTTGCGCCTGCACCTGTGCCTGAGCTTGAGCCTGGGCTTGAGCTTGAGCATGGGCCTGCGCCTGTGCCTGTGCCTGTGCCTGTGCCTGTGCCTGTGCCTGTGCCTGTGCCTGTGCCTGTGCCTGTGCCTGCGCTTGTGCCTGTACCTGAGCCTGAGCCTGAGCACGCTCCTGCGCATTTGTAGACTGCTTCTCCACGCGTTTCGCCTCCTCCACTGCGGGCGACACCGTGGCGATGGCGGGTCGGGGACTTTGCGAGGCTTGGCTGCCGGTCAAACTTGCTCGTCTCGTCCTGCTGAGCACGGCGTCCTTGTTCGCCCAACTTGCCGACGATGGCAGGGCAGACCCATCAGGTGGCCGGCTACCAGCAGCGTCATCCCTACTAGGCTGACGGCGCATAGGTTGCGAAATCGGTTGAGCGGAGGACCGGGCAACGTGCGGAGGGATCGAGTGGGTGGGACCGCTGGGGGCACCGTTGATACGCTGACTCGACAAGGTGTTCATCGAAGAGAGATCCTGCCGGCTGTAACTGTCGCTGTCCTCACCAGTCTCATGCAGGAAGGTGCAGTTTCGATTATGACATTGCTCGTTACGCAGGAAGGAAGAACAATACTTGGTCGTACCATATTGGGCACTAGAGCGGTCAGTACGTTGCTTTGTGAACAGAACATCAGAAAGTAGAGAATTCGACCTACCGTAGCACCCGGTCACCGTTGGCTGACCCATCCACAGCTGCTATGCAAGTGGCTGCGTCGGCCTTCCTTGCGTACGTGACGTAGACACCAATGCCCTGGTTCGGGTTGCCACCAGGCTTTGCCTTGCTCACGACGATCTTTTCGATGTCACCGTATTGACCGAAGTAGTCTCGACCGCGCAAAGTCAGGAGGAGTTGATTCTCGTCACGTATCGTGGGGTTGAGACCGATCACGTAAACCAGGTTCTTCTGCACGACGCGGACACCGGCAAGATTCTTGCGACTGGAAGCCTCGATTTCACGTTTCTCGGCCTCCTTCTTCTTCGCGGCAGCAGCCTTGCGGTGTTTCAAGGCCAAATCGGCTTTGAATCTAAAATTGCGGGTTGCGATGTTAGCGCCAAGACGCGGGAAGGGACAGTGGGAACAAGAGCGAGGAGTGACCACATACTCGTCGGCATCGGGAACCTTGTATTGTATGGTGCTCTCATCGTAGACCCGTCGGCAGTTGGGGCACCGGCCTTCTTCGCTGTGGGTTTTGATGTTGTTGTAGCAGAATTGACAAATCTGGAGGGGTCTGTTAGCGACGGTCCGGATCGCATACGACGCGAGCGATCTCCTGATCGGGCCGTTGATTCGGGAGGGGGTACAAGGCGAGAAGGATGCGTACCTGATACCCACAGGGGCAAGGCTTGAAATTCTTATCCGAAAGATCGAATTCTTCGATGCAAAGGGGGCTAAAGAAGACAAAGATGTCAGCCCAACGGACTAGTCATAGGACAACCCGACGGGTAGGAAAAGTGGGAAGCGAACGCACCAGAACTCGTCGTCATCATCGATGACGGAGTCAATCTGTTGGCGATTTGACATTGTGAGTGACGAAGCTGTGCAACGGTACGACGACTGGACAAGACGGCGATCACAGTCCAAGACTAACACCCATCAACCAAACCCGGGCGGAAGGGGGGGAGTAGGTAGAGGGCGAGGAAAAGCGGGTAGAAAAAAAAAAGAACGTCAAACGAGACAGGAGAGGAAGATAGGAAAAGGGACGAAAAGAAGAGTCCGAGGGAGGAAGAAGATGGTAGATCGACGAAACGTGGGGTAAAGGTGAGGAGGACGAGAAGAAGGAGCACGGAGGGACACAGACGCAAAGGAAGAGGGAGAGTTGGAGGCGAAGAGCGAGAAAGAGAAGTGAAGCTTTGATTGATGGGGTTTGCGCGGGTTTGCACTGTTTGACTGCACTTGCAGCCTGAGGCGTACATATGTTGCTATCCGCGCCGCTTATGTCATCTCCGCCAGCCAAACTTGCGGTTCTCACGTGACCGCGACAACTTCGCCTGGACCGGCAAAAGCTCCTTGGATGAGGAACCTCCGCTGCTCTCCCCTCCCTCCACCTTCCCCGTCGTCTCACACCCGCAATTGTCCGTCATCATGGCCTCTGCTCGCTCCTTGATGCGGCTGGGATCTGGCCGCTCCCTGGCCCCCGCCGTCCGGTCGACCCGTACCTTCACTACGACCGCTCTGAAGGCCACTCAGGCCTCGACCGCGCCTATCTCAGAGGATGTTCCCAACATGCGCCAGGCCCAGCGTCCCCGTATGTCCAATGGCACCCGGATTCGACCATTGATATCGCAGGATGTGCACCACTAACATAATCTTTAGCCTCGGGTCCTCTCCGCGCCCCCGTCATCAACCCGGCCGACAAGTACCAGGACAAGGCGGACAGTCTGCACAAGTACGGCCAGTACATCATGTCGTGCCTGCCCAAGCACGTCCAGCAGTTCTCCGTCTGGAAGGATGAGCTCTGCATCTACGTCCCTCCCTCCGGTCTGATCCCCACTATGACCTTCCTGAAATACCACACCGCGGCCGAATACACCCAGATCTCGGACATCACCGGTGTCGACTTCCCCACCCGCGACCAACGCTTCGAGGTCGTCTACAACATGCTCAGCGTTCGCTACAACTCGCGTATCCGTGTCAAGACCTATGCCGACGAGGCCAGCCCCGTGCCCAGTGTTACCGGTCTGTTCGAGGGTGCTCTGTGGTACGAGCGTGAGGTGTACGACATGTTCGGTGTCTTCTTCACCGGCCACCCCGATCTGCGCCGTATCATGACCGACTACGGTTTCGACGGTCACCCGCTGCGCAAGGACTTCCCCTTGACTGGATACACGGAGCTGCGTTACTGTGAGGAGAAGAAGCGCATTGTCATTGAGCCTCTGGAGCTTACGCAGGCATTCCGGAACTTCGAGGGTGGTACTGCTGCCTGGGAGCCTGTCAGTGCGGGTACTGACAGAACTCCTGAGTCGGTATGTTGATATCAACCTTTACGATGACGAGGACGATGCTAACTAAAGATATAGTTCAAGCTGCCCACCCCCAAGCCGGAGCCGAAGGAGGAGGAAAAGAAATAGAGGAGATGTAATCGTATTATCTTTCCTTACTGGTTCTGTATGTACATACCGTGTGTTGAATTTGACGTTGGTTTCGCGCAAACTTCTAACGTGGGTCGCCATTTCTCAAAAGTAGGTTGACTCGCGCTATGATATCGTAGATCATGAAATTATATCCTTACATTGCACACAATTCGAAAACTGTCTCATCAAAAATTTGTAGAGCACTACATCCACATCCAATTGACCCAATTACACATCATATCAAAACACAAAAGAAACAACCCCCCATGAAACCATCCCCCGTGAAACGGACCAATAACCATCCTCCAAAAATAAGACACTCAAAACGGCAAAACGCCCCGTCCACGTCCCAAAACTGAACCAAAAAGGCGGCGAGCAATCTCATTCCATCGCTTGGCACCGCCCTTTCCTCCGACCGGCAGAAAAAGTTCCCTGACCAGAAAGAAAAACTACTTTAATCTATCTTAATCTTGAAATCAACATTGGAAGCCATAACTTAGAATATATCCCCGCATATTCCCCTCACCGCGAATATAAACCGACTACTTCATTTATCAACACATAAACACCACACACATCATCCTCACAATTCCCAAGACTACAAAAGCAACCGAGCAAAAATGGGGAAGCGCAACTTCGCAGACTTCTCCGAATCGCCATACACACCGCACGACCGGAGCCAATCTTTGCAAGTAACCCGACTATTCCAGAAATTCGAATATGGGGTGATGACACTATCCAAAGCGCTCAAGGTAGCGCGGGGGTTCGAGCGACAGAAGCTCGGACGGAGAGAGAAAACGGCGCAGAAGGAAGAGGGTGAGAAGAAGGAGGGGACGTTGAGTCGGATTGCGGAGGAGATTCAGGTTGTTAAGGTACAGCCCCTCTTCTCCCTTCTCAAGGCCGTTACTTTACTAAACATCTGAATTTTATAAATGATAAATAGACACTGGACCCCCACGTCACCGCCGAAAAATACCTCTTCAAGCAACTCCTCAAGACGAAACGCATCGCCGAGTCGCCGCTCTTCATCCAGTTCAAAGACAAGAAGAAGTTATCCGCGGAGGGACCGAAAAGTACAGCTGAAGCGAACGTCACGGCACGGTTGTACAAATCCACGCCGGTGAAGAATGTGTTTCCAGGGATCATGGAGGGGATACGCAAGTTATTGGGCATCGAGGATAAGCCTGCGGATGTGAAGAAGAAGAAGGATGCAAAGAAATCCTCCAAGGAAGAGAAGAGCAGCGGCAGCAGTAGCAGCAAGAAGAAGGCCGATGCCGAGCCAGCTCGGACAAGCGCATCTGCCTCGCCAAGCGACGACGAAGACATCAACATGTCCGACGCCGGCTCCGACGCAGAAAGCATCGACTACGCACAATTCGACGCGCGACTGGCGCCCGATTCAGGCGACGAGAACGAAGAAGATGGATCCGAAGGCGACGAAGATCTCGATCCCAACGAGATCAGCGACGTAGAAGAAGAAGAAGAGGAGGAGGAGGAAGAAGAGGAAGAATTAGACGACGACCAAGAAATCCCCTCCAACATGTCCATTTCCCGCTCCCCCTCCCCCTCCTCCCCACCCAGCAAAAAGCCTAAAGCAACCACCAGCAAGGCCTCCTCTACGCCCGCGACCAGCACGACCTTCCTCCCCTCACTCACAATGGGCGGATACTGGTCCGGTTCCGAGGACGAGGCAGAAGACGGCGCGGCGGCGAACGAGCCCCCGCGACGCAAGAACCGCATGGGACAGCAGGCGCGTCGGGCGCTGTGGGAGAAGAAGTACGGAGCCGGAGCGAATCATGTTAAGCAGGAGAAGAATAAGCGGAAGGGAGGAGGACGCGATAGTGGGTGGGATGTGAGGCGGGGAGCGACGGATGGGGGTGAGCGGTGGGGACGCGGTGGACAGCATGGTAGTAGGGGTAGACCGCAGCAGCAAAACCAGCAGTTTGGACGGCCGCAGCGTGGTGGACCGCCAGCGAAGAAGCCGGAGGATAATAAGCCGTTGCATCCGTCATGGGAGGCGGCGAGGAAGGCGAAGGAGCAGAAGGCTACTGCTGCTTTCCAGGGTAAGAAGGTTACGTTTGATTAGTGGGATATATCCTATTTCTGTATGTAGAGCATTTGTAGGTATTATATCATCATCATGGTTGAAAATATTTGGAATAATTATTTGTCCTGCTATTTCCACTAATAGTTGTGAAACAATATATACATACTGTCTAGGTATCTTGAAACATAAAATCCGGTGCTTACAGACGGATCAACATATAAACAACTACGCAACACAACACAACAGCCGTGAGAAGCCAAACCAAAACGCTGAAATCAATCACAACGAAAGTCGACTTGCCTTAAGGCAATTAATCATTCATGAAGTTCATCCACCGCGTATCTGTTGATTTCATCTCCCCAGAAAGGCTCGGCTGGCCGTCAGGTTCAAAACAAGGGATGGCAGTAAACTCTCCCAACTCCTGGGGCAGATTAGAAACGAAGTGATCGAGGCCGAAGTGCGGCATCTGCGATAAAGGATGTGAAACAGAAAAGTCCGATGAGTCGGGAAGACTCGCGCTGCCCACATCGGCTTCCACGGGCTCGTTCGCAGTGGATGCACCACCCGTCATAGGGGTCATAACGGGGGCGAGTCCGTTGCTAGTATGATGATACTGCTGCTCCTGGAATGGGACGATTTCCGGGGAGATGGGCCCGGTCTTCCATAGCATTTCCCAATTCTTGAACCGGTCGTATGCTGATTCAATGACACCGGTACTGCCTTGGGGTTGGGTCTGGCTGTATTCTTCGAGACGACGGATCGCTCGCTCTAGCGTTTCGATGACGCTTACTGCAGCGCGGGCAGAGCCGACACCCATGGACATGATCTTGATCAGTGCCATACCTTTGTCTAACGCTTCGCGTAGGCGCTCGGTGCGTTTGGTCAAGCTCTGGGCTAGAATGACGAGCAGAGCGGCCCGGCACGAGCTGAACTCAGTGAATGATGCACGGGCAAGACCGCGCTCGTCGCGAAGGAGCCGACATAGGTCGATGATCTCGAGAGCGGCTTCTACACAATCCGTGATCAATGTGGAGCGGTTCTTAGCGGGACCTGATGGTGTCTTGACCGGAGCACCAGGTATTGTGGCTGAGCTGATTGCCCGGTTGGTGCTGAAGAGGAACGGTCGTCCCAGGAAGATACGCGTCAGACAATAATCGAGCTTCAAATGCACATTGGAGCGAAATAGTGGCCCTGCTGGATTGAGATCCCTGCAGTTGGTTTCCTCGGGCAGCGTTCCCCACCAGTCGACAAGGTTCTTCCGCAGATTCAGGAGCCTCTCCAAGCAATCTTGTTGCTGGTTCTTTCGGGACTTGCGAAGGACGGATCTACTAGCGTTAGAAAGGTACAACTGCATTTTGAAGCCAAACGTTACATTTCATTCGCAACTTCTCCGAGCTTGAGGGTTAACTTGATGAGTGTCACCATGTTCGTATCATTTGAAACATGTCCCGATGGCGTCAAGCCCTGAAAGTCAGTGGGGAATGGGGCATCCACGTCCGCATCTAACAAGGACACTGGTCTTCCGTGAAGAATGCTAACACGCCTAGAAAGTCGTAAGCACGGATAAAGACAAGGGGGCTGCCATATAACCTACTTCTCGATCGTGTACGCAGTCCAAAACACACGGTTCCGAATCTCTATCATACGCGGCGATAGTCCTTCCCCCGTATACTTCCGGTGCATACCATTCTGGATCGCCATCTTCAGCGCCAGACCAAAGTAGGTATAGCATAGTCCAGACGTATCGAGTGGCAACAAATAAGTTCCAATCAGTAGGCAGGCCTGTACGCTTCGGACATTTGCCGTGGCGATAATATCTGGCAACAGCTTCGATGCGAACTGGTAGAAAGTGAGACCGACATCGTCCTCGGAAAAGTGATGGTCATCATCGAAAGCCGAGTTGGAAGAGAGACGATTGACGGGAATGGACGATTCCATATGCGCAAATTGTGTTCCGACAGCCAAGACCATCAGGATGGCGCAAACCGAGCCGGCATCCTTCGACGACAAACAGGACGGATCTGTATAGCATGTATTAAGCTTATCTCGCAGCCAATCTTCTTCGACGTAAAAGTTGTTGGTCTGTGCATATTTGAAGAATATTTGGACAAGGAAGTCGGCGACAAAACGGGGCGGAAGACAGGTGACTGATGTCGATACCAAAGTTGAACCCGACTGCAGCTGAGTCGCTCGCCATCGCTCTTCAAACGGTTCTGTTTCGGTCGACGCCTATCACCGTCAGCGCAATAGAAAAAAGAGTGCTGCGAAGGATTGTGATTACCTCCGGAGCTGCCGTCTTCATCCACTCGTCAATCTTCTGTCTAATCTTCATGGAGAAATTCAGGTATGAGAATTCTCCCGAATATTCTGCAGACCAGTCAGATAGCCTGCACCAGCAACAATAAACCCAAAACAAGTCAGAGAGTCATACGGGTAGTATTATCCGGCAAAGCCTTGATGGTAAAGTCCTCATCATCGATGGCCAAATCCTCGAGCTCCTCACCATCCAGCTGCATCGAAGGCGGCCCACCCTCCATTCCAGCGGGACGATGCTTATGTTTTAGCTCCTCCGCCATCTTCCGAAGAGAATGTATATCGAACGAGATGTTTGGGACATAGTGTTGAAGAATGCGTTCCATGTAGCGGACACGTTCCGACTCGAGCATTTCATGTTGGTTGAAAGCAACGGTGCGGTCTAGGAGCCTAACCCCATCGCATATTGTCTATCAGCCTCCACAAACTCACATTGCAGTATCATAACCAATTGAGAAAGAGGTATCAGACGACTTACGAGACGGACGATGAGCGAGCGAGCTTCTCGGCCTGATCGGGGTGAGTGAAGATGCATTGCCGACGATACCGGAGACATCGGCGACAGGGGACGCCTCCTTCGCATTTCTCCTTTACGCGACGACATCCATCGCAGCTATACTAGTCAGTAATATATTCCAAGAGATCTCAACAATTCCCAGATATCCCAACGGGGGGCATTTTGGGGATAAAATCGGGGATGGATGCAGCTCACGCTCGCACCGCTCTTTTGCGGTTTTCCTCGGAAACGCGGGGTCGTTTCTGCTGGCCCAGACCAGCAGGGGTACCAGGGCCCACATCCATGGTAGTTTCGAGTTCAGGGAGGCCGATGGAGAGGCAGGCGCATTGTAGAATTATAGAAAAAGCATGAGGCAAGAGGGGAGAGGGTCAAGTTGGGATTGAGTGGGTTGCGGAGGACAAGAAAATTTCCCCGGGGTTCGAAGGAGGAGGAGAAGGGGACCTTCCTCTGGCCCCTTCCCAATCTTTCTTCTTACTGATAAGATCATAAAAGGCGGCACACTCTCTCTCAGCCATGCCTTTGCCGATCTACCGCCGAGACCTCCGGGGAATGCCTTCCATCTACGAATCTTCTTACTTTTTAACGATTTTTAAATTTATGGAGTTAGCGCATTCCAGATAGTTGCCTGTCATTGGGTAATAGGTTAAGCTATCTTTTGTACCTAAATAGGGTGCTCGCGTGACTCAACTGGCCGCTGCAGGGCTGCCCGGCCGGCCATCCCAACTGGGGACGGACGGATATAGATGGATCATCACTACAGTAACCATGATCGAGCCCATTAGGGGAGCTATTGATTCTTAAAATCCATCCACTTCCATACCAATGTTTCTGGCCCGTCCAACTTCCAACAACTTATTCCCGACCACCAAATCCATCATTCCCATCCCCACGCACTTGAACACCACATTACATCCCTCCGGCACATCAATAGACTCATCCTTGCCCATCTTACCATAAAGCTCTCCAATCTCAACCAGTTGATCCTCCCTCGCCTCCGCCAGAATCAACTCGCCCGACTCTTCCAAACACGCCTCCTTCGAGTCCACGTAGACCTTCCCTCCGCCCGACAGCAGCGTCTCAGTGTCAATCTCCCGCATATGCGGCTTGTACGAGCCGATAAGGGAGATGAACCGCTGCTTGGACGGCTGGAGATAGGTGTACGGGAAGTTTGGCTCGGTCGCCGGCGTACAACTGAAGATCACATCGCAAGCACCCAATTCATTCCGTAGCTGTTCCTCGTAATCTGGAGTATCTTCTTTGACCAGCGTAGCAAAGGTCTTGTCGGGATGAGCAGCCCGTAGATCAGCGATCGCATCTCGCTCCAGCTCCTCCAGTCGCCGGCGACCGCGGTTGATCAATGTAATTCTCTTAATCTGGTCCGGAACGAGCAGCAGGGCTAGTCGAGCATGCCACTCCGCTTGGCGTCCAGAGCCAAAAATCAAGATGTGCTCTTTGTTAATGGTTGTGCAGCGAATGAACAGCGACATAACCGCCAAGGCGGTGCGGAAGGCTGTGATCTCCGCAGCACTGAGGAGACCTTGCAGTTTACCTTCCGGGGAGAAGATGTTGATGACACCGATGATCCCGTTGGCCTGGGAGGCGGTTACAACTTTGAAGCCGGTGTGCACGGTGTTGGACACAGGCATGAAGAGAGAGAGATTCTGGTCTTTGGTGAGGATGGTGCTGCGGAGTGGTTGGTGGATGAGTCGCTCGTGGCTGGGTGTGGACGACTCTGAAGATACAGTCGTAAGACCCTCACAGAGGGCATCAAGAAGATCATGGCATTGTGTAGGGGTTAACTGTCGCAGGATCTGGGCGACCGCTGGCTCAGGAAGAAGACGCATTGTGGAGGAAAATGTTGGCGATATAACAATCCTATACGGGAAAATTCAACAGGGTTGCGAGATATGGAGTATAGTAAATGGGAAGCCAATAGTTATATTGGTTGTGAGTTGTGTGCCTGATAGATGGTCAGCAGCCGTTATAGACAGATAGCCCCTCGGCACCCGGGGAAGCGATGTCGGAGTTAGACCAACTTAGTGCCTGGGTGTCAAGGGACACGGATATCATCGGACATCAGTACCGAGAAGAAAGGTCTAGTTGGCCGGCACTAATGTCGGATGGCCTTCCGTTGCGATCGAAAGTTGCAATCGGGAATACGTTGTAGATGCGAGGAACGCGGGGTCGGGAATGGATCGACTGTCCCTCTTGACATCACTGCCGCGCGCTACGTGGTTTAGCGGCTATCTATGCCGCACTATGATAGCACCAAGTAAACTAGTTCAGGTTGAGCTTTGTTATCATGAAAGAGTGAATCAGATTTCTAACGCCATCTACATGCATGCTCACGCTTAGGGAATCAGCTAACAAAACCACACAATGCGCCAAAAGGCTAAAAACCAAAACAAATATGCGAGTCAAGAGGTATCATAGAACAACATCAGTTACCGAAGCCAAACACGCGACGAGCGCGGCGCTTGAGCTCTCCAAGCATAGCCTCCTGCGACTGCTTGGTACGGCCAACCGCCTCGGTGTTCTCCACAGCACGTCTCATCAGGAAGCCCATGCATTCCTTAACAGTGCCCCAGGTCAGAAGCTTGTACACGTTCGGGGTCTCCTGGGAAGCGGGGCCATCGGCGCTGGAGAAGCCTTGCAAGAGCTCGCAGCTGACCTCGTCGGCCATACCCTGAAGTTGGGCATAGCTGAGATCAACTCCCTGCTTCTCGGCGCGAGCAGCCTGCTGAAGACGGATGGCGTGGGCCTTGCGGACAGAATCCCGGTTGTGAGTGGCGATGATAACGTTGACAGGGGGCAGCTCGGTCTTGTGCTCCTCGGAGGCGGGCTGCAGCATCGAGTTGTAGCGGCGAGTCAGGAGAGCCTCGACGACACCGTCGTAACAGGCGTCAGTCTCCTCCTTCTCAGCCCAGATCAGGTGGCGAGGCTCGGTCTTCAGGTAAGCACCACGGACCAGCTTCACACCAGCAGTGTAACCCTCCTGGCGAGCAACCTCAAGGTGTTTGGCAATGGTGGCCGGGGTCGAGCGGAGGTAGGCCTGGTAAGTGTTGTAGAAAATGGCGTGGCCGGGGGTCTTCGCATTGCAGTACTTCTGGTACTTCAGAGCCCACTTCTCGATACCCAGCTGCACAGCCTGCTCCTCGGCATCGACGAGTAGGCGCACGTTGCGCGAGATGGCCAGGTCGCAGACCTTTGTGATAGCGTAATCCATGAACTCGGAGGGAGCAGCCTGCTTCTGCAAGAACTCGAGCACCTGAGTACCCATACCGGTGAACCTGTAAAGATTAGCACATGATCCAATTCGAGTCAGCTGTGGAGAAAACCTACTTCAGGGCCACAAAGTCGCCTTCCTGGGCCATGTCGACGGTTTGCAGGGTACCATCCAGCCAGGTCTGGATCTCCGCCCGCGCGGCCTTCTCATCGCGAGGGTCGACATTGCCCTCACCCACCAGGACCTCGCGAGCGTAACCCAGCAGAACACCCCGGTAGCCCAACTGCTTGATGGCCTGGATTGACTGCTGCACCTCGAGCTTGTTCTCACCGGCGTTGAACTGCTTGTACAAAGTGTGCTTGACGAGCGCGTTCAACAGAGGGTTTTTGGCGACGTCCAGAACGGGGGTCTTGGGGTGCGCGAGGGTCGAGAGCGCAAAGATGCACGGCTTCAACAGGAGGGTGGAAGAGGAGACGGAGAGGATCACCAGCGACCGCAGGACGGAGGAGATGGGGAGCTTAGCCAGGGGAGATCCCGAGGCATCGTGGGAGGGAACGGCAGCCTGCTGCTGCAACAGGTTGTTGGTGGGGGAGGACGCAGCGGCAGAAGATTTGGGGTTGCTGGTGCGGCTAACGTATCTGGCGGACGAGTATGTAGAGGGGACGCTCGAGAGCACCCGCATAGGACGGCGGGCAGCCTTCATGATGATGGTAGATTAAGTGGCGAGTGTAGAAGAAGGTGGCAAGGAGGGGAGGGGAGGATGAGTGTGGAAGGCAGAAGAGTCATGCAGCGGTGATAAGAATAAGTAGTTCTTCAGTCTGAGGACAAAGGAGGGGAATTTGTAGTGGTATGAAATGCATCGCAAGGGAATGGAAGTATGGCAAGTGGAGGATCTTTCTTTAGTGTAACTAGTAGATGGGGGATGGAAAGAAGCGGTTCCCGTACCGGTGGAAACCGGGCAGGAAGTGGACTGAAAGCCGGTCAGCATTGGCTTTCTTTCTACAACCCGGACAGCCATTACTATCATTTTCTTTTTTTTTTTTTTTTTTTTTTTTCTTTTTTTCTGGGGCTGCTCGTCCCCGTGACGTTAGATAATGCAAACTGGCTAGCCGTGACTGGGAGATTATGCGAGTGACGTTGCAGTGGAAGGGTGGCTAACTATAACATTGTTGCACCTGACCCGGCCAGTTGTGTCTAGATCTACGCCTGATCGCCCGCTACTGTAGGCTTCGCTCGAGCTTACCGATGAACTGGAGTTGGGGTGGTGTGTGTCACTACTCGATAGGAGGGCTTTGACTGGATCTTGACTAGGCCTTATGCTTCCTAGCAAATGAGAAAGTATCTCGAACTTTAGACAAAAGCACCAAAGGCCCCGTGCCCAAAACCCTACCCATCCTTGTTTCCTGTACTTTTTGGAGGGGTCAAAAAAAGTCCAGGTTATCGATCTGGCGATAACCCTGATAAGTGGTCGATAAGAGATTGGCGATGACCGGCAGGCGGGCCGGTGGGTTCATCCCCACCGGAGCTGTCGCCGCTTGACCGGCCCGGTCGTGCTGCTGGGCTACAGATTCACTAGAGACGATTACTATGCCAGCATGTAAAAGAATGTGTACCCCTAGCAGGGCATACAGGCAGGCCGATCTCGCTATAGAACTATACTGTATTTTTCGATCATGTCTGTAGTCAGGTCAAGGTATCACCCTCTCTTACTTCTTGGACAACATCGCTGTTGCTGGCTATTACTGTGTACAGGGTACTAAAGTAGAAACAGCTACGGAATCTGCCTTTAAATCTTGCCATCAGGCACCATCTTCTATGATGCCTGAATAGTCAGGCATTAAAACACTACTAGCCTCATCTGGTTTAGTGCTGGAAGGTTCCATTGAAGCTCCACCGGGAGGCATCCGACACACCAATAATGGCAGCGAATGGCCAGCCTGGATGGGTCAAGCTTTCCAAACGAGCAAAGATGAACCATGCCATTAGGTAACAGAATGACTCCATCAACAGGTTTGGCAATGTTGCAGTTTCTCTTAGTCACAGCAACCTCGCGGTGGATTCAGCTCTCTTCACGCTCTAGAATATGCCCACTGTGGTGCGGAGAACAACCCCGGATTTGCAGCAGTCTAATACTCTAATGCCACGAGGGACGCCGCCGGCTTCTGACAGCTTTATAGAAGCTTAAATCGTCAATGAAAAACCGATCCATATCAAACAATGAGCAAGCCAGATAGCCTGATATCGCATCCATGTCCCTGCCGCGTCGGACGATCCCCGCCCGCCAGCCAGGCAGATAAGGGAACCTGTGGCAGCCACCAAACCTTCCCATCTTCTAACGAGAAACACTGCTCGTATGTAAACCCAAACTAGAGATAAGATGCTAAACCCCCGCATATCGCCTCCCCAGAGCCCTCGGGAGCCAATGATGGTGTCCTTCTGGAAGACTTTACGCCATCGGGCCGTGGCTCAAAGTCATTTCGTGTTGGTCCTGATAAGCATATTTTTTTTGAGACGGGCCAGCTGGTCGCCTCTGCGGCACCCATATAAGACGTCCGTAGCCGATTCCCACAATTGACTGTTCCTGTCATTCGCATCAGTACATTATTCCACGTTCTTGTACACACCAGAATGGGTGCACCGACGTTCAAGGACTCCGAGAAGTCCGCAAATGAAGTGACATCTCCTCCCGTATATGTTGATGAAGACCCCGAAGCCCTCAAGGGCGAGATCCACCATGGGCCAAACACAGACACCCAGCGTGGACTGTCCTCTCGACAACTGCAGCTGCTTGCTCTCGGTGGTTGTATTGGCACCGGTCTCTTCGTAGGTTCCGGATCCACGCTGTCGATTGTGGGCCCAGCACCACTGTTCATGGGCTATTTTGCCATGTCCACAGTGGTGTGGTTTGTGATGAACGTGCTGGGCGAGATGACCACCTATCTGCCCATCAAGGGTATTTCGGTGCCTTACGTGATTGGCCGCTACACAGAGCCTAGTATCGGATTCGCTGCTGGTATGTTTTACATTGTACCTGAAATGTTTATTCTAGTTTTGCAGTAATAAGCTAATTCTGATTTAGGATACAATTATTGGTAGGCTGACATTATTCTCCGTTCACCAACACAATCTAATCTCTATGCCTCTTAGGTACTCGTTTGCCATGTTACTGGCAAGTGAAGTGACGGCTGCCGGAATCATCATCCAGTACTGGACTACCTCCATCAGTGTTGGGGTGTGGATCACTATCATCCTCCTCGGTATGTCTCTCAATATTCTATTTCGCAGTTCTAGATTGATTCTAACACCCACAGTGATTCTGCTCCTAAATATCGTCGCGGTGTCATGGTATGGAGAAGCCGAGTTCTGGTTTGCAACGTTAAAGATTCTTGCCATTATCGGTTTAATTATCCTCGGCGTGGTGCTCTTCTTCGGTGGTGGCCCCAACCATGATCGACTCGGCTTCCGCTACTGGGACAACCCGGGCGCATTCAATCCCTACTTGGTGGGTGGAAACACCGGTCGCTTCCTCGACTTTTGGACCGCCTTTATCAAGTCTGGCTTCTCCTTTATTTTCTCCCCCGAACTTATCACCACTGCTGCTGGTGAAGTTGAAGCACCCCGTCGCAACATCCCGAAAGCCACCAACCGATTCATCTACCGAGTTTTCGCCTTTTACATCCTGGGATCTCTGGTAATTGGTGTGACTGTGGCCTACAATGATCCTAAACTCATGTCCGCCGTTGCTAGTGGTAGCTCTAGCGCCAGTGCCAGTCCTTTTGTCATTGCCATTCAGAATGCTGGTATCTCAGGGCTAAACCATGTCGTCAACGCTGCTATTCTAATCTCAGCCTGGTCCTCGGGTAATGCATGGCTGTTCGCTGGTTCTCGAACACTGTATTCGCTCGCCTGTGGCGGCCAGGCCCCCAAGATCTTCACCCGATGCAACCGCAACGGCGTGCCCTACGTGGCCGTTCTCATCACCTGGGTAGTCGGCTTGTTGTCCTTCCTGAACCTGTCGGACTCGGGAGAGAACGTCTTCTACTGGTTCACGAACATCACCACAGTGGGAGGATTCATCAACTGGGTGCTCATTGGTATTGCCTACCTGGTTAGTTATTTCCATCAAGCTTTTCTGCAGACCCGACTAACAAAACACAGCGCTTCCGCAAAGCATTGACCTACCACGGCCTGATGGACACGCTCACTTTCAAGACCCCTCTGCAGCCCTACGGCACATACTACGTTATTCTGATCGTGTCCCTCCTGACCATCACAAACGGATACGCGGTTTTCTTTCCCGGCAACTTCACTGCGGCCGACTTTTTGGTGTCGTATATCGTGGTAGCTATTTTCCTAGCCCTCTATGTGGGCCACAAAGTGTGGTATCGGACCCCATGGATGACCAAGGTGTCGGAGATTGACGTGTTCACGGGCAAGGAGGAGATTGATCGGCTCTGTGAGAATGACTTTGAACGGAAGCCACGTAATTGGCTGGAGAGGGTGTGGTGGTGGATTGCTTGAGCAGGATTCACCACATGAGTCAGAAGTATATATTTGCAAAATCCTTTGAGCACGACACATGTACATAGATTGAATGTTATAGCCAAGAATGGAAGGCTTAGTTATAGCTTGGCAATTTCTTAGTGTTGGCATTCCTCGAAAAGAGTGTATTGGTAGTGCTAGTAGGCTTGCAGAGAGGTCAGGTGGTCAAGTCACGCGTCGGTTTGCTGCGGTATTCATCTCCGCCTCTTTTTGCTGCTCCACGTATTTTGTCATTTAGTCGGTATGCAGCCATTATGCATGGATCAAACTCGGCATTCGTCATCAATTCTAGAGGTGCTTTGAGCTCTCAATTGACTCCATGTGAGGGTAATTAGTGTCTCATGTTGTGGTATTTTCAGGACCAGCTTCAAGCTTAATGAAGACGAGTCAGACAGCGGAGATTCCAGAGCGATCGCTTGTACTGTGCGGACCCATGCGGAGGCGGAGAGCTACCGCTGCAACACAATTCATTCAGATTCAAATAACATAACTATCATTAACTGATGCGAAAATCCAACACAGACAGGTTCCTGTTAGTCATGATTATCGTGCGTGTCCAGCACTATCTGCCTACTAATGAAATACCAGCGGAAGGCCAGCAGCCGGTGGAGATATCCGGGCCGGTGGGCAGCTCCACCCGGAATCCAGCCGGCGGTACTGATTAGCGCGACAGCAGAGTATCAGATCTGCCTGCATTTCCTGCCCGGCCCATTGGTTGCCGGTACGCTGCAAGGACAATCACTTGTTGGTTTGCTGGGTTGGACCTTGTCTCTCTGAATCCTGAACTGCAGTGTACTTTGTGCCACCCAGGGATCCTGCGTGCTGACTAACCACGGCCGGCAGTAACCGGGCCTCTTATATCACCGGAGCTTCCCCGCGTCTGCTTCAATTTCTCCTCATCTCTCCTACTTTTCATCCCCTCGGATTCAGTCCTCGTCCAGTTGCTACAACTCGGAAGAGCACAATCCATCATGCAGTCCTCTTTGCTCCTGCGTTCTCGGGGCCTTTCCCTCGCCAAATGCCCCTCCCTCTCCCTTGCCCGCACGAGCGCTCGTGCTATGGGCTCTTACGCCACCTTCAAGGTTCCTCGCATTGACAACGAGCCTAACGTGAGTAACCGTGAAATCGCGGTCATTGTCAAGTTTACTGACTCAATCGCAGAAACACTACGCCCCCGGATCTCCTGACCGCCGCGGTCTCGAGGAGGCCCTCGCCAGAACCAAGCAGAGCGGTCCCCTCAATGTGCCTTTGGTGATTGCCGGCAAGGAGGTTAGTTAGCAGACATGCGAGTAGCAGAAACAATTGGATAAACCTAACTCCCCGCAGATCAAGAGCTCCCAGGTCGAGACCCAGAGCAACCCCGCATCCCATGCGCCCGTGGCTACCTACTCCAACGCCTCCGTCGCCGAGGTCCAGGCTGCTATTGACGCCGCCCTCGAGGCTCGCAAGTCGTGGGCTGCTACCTCTTTCGCCGATCGTGCCAGCATCTTCCTCAAGGCCGCTGACCTGATCTCGACCAAATACCGCTATGACATCATGGCTCTGACCATGCACGGCCAGGGCAAGAATGCCTGGCAGGCCGAGATCGACTCTGCTGCTGAGCTGTGCGATTTCTTCCGCTTCGGTGTCAAGTACGCCGAGGACCTGTACGCTCAGCAGCCCGTTCACCACGCCCCTGGTGTGTGGAAGTAAGTCATGCACGATCTAAAGTAGCAGTCTATGGATCAAACTAACCTGACTAGCCGTGTGGAATACCGTCCCCTGGAGGGATTCGTCTACGCCATCAGTCCCTTCAACTTCACTGCCATTGGCGGTAACCTGGCTGGTGCTCCCGCCCTGATGGGTAACGTCGTCGTCTGGAAGCCTTCTCCTTCCGCCATCGCCTCCAACTGGCTCGTCCACCAGATCCTCCTCGAGGCCGGTCTGCCCAAGAACGTCATCCAGTTCGTTCCCGGTGATGCCGCTGAGGTCACCAACACCGTCCTGAACCACCCCGACTTTGCTGCCCTCCACTTCACCGGTAGCACCGCTGTGTTCCGTAGTCTCTACGGCCAGATCGCCAACGGCGTTGCCGAGGGCAAGTACCGCAGCTACCCCCGCATTGTTGGTGAGACCGGTGGCAAGAACTTCCACCTGGTCCACAAGTCGGCCGATGTCCGCAATGCTGCCGTCCAGACTGTCCGTGGAGCTTTCGAGTTCCAGGGCCAGAAGTGCAGTGCCACCTCCCGCGCCTACGTGGCCGCATCCATTGCCGACGAGTTCATTAAGAACGTCGTTGCCGAGACCAAAAACATCAAGGTCGGCGAGCCTTCTGACTTCACCAACTTCTGCGGTCCCGTCATCCACGAGGCCTCCTTCAACAAGCTGGCCAATGTGATCGACGAGGCCAAGAACGACCCCGAGCTCGAGCTGCTGGCCGGCGGTAGCTACGACTCCTCCAAGGGATGGTACATCCAGCCCACCGTCTACCACACCACCAACCCCGACCACCCACTCCTTTCCCGCGAGCTCTTCGGTCCCGTCCTGGTCATCCACACCTACGCCGATGCCACCGAGGCCGACTTTGCCAAGATCTGCGAGAAGGTTGACCAGACCGGCGACTACGGTCTGACCGGTTCCATCTTCGCCCAGGACCGCGAGGTTCTCCGCACCGCCGACGACGCTCTCCGCAACACCGCCGGTAACTTCTACATCAACTGCAAGAGCACTGGTGCTGTTGTTGGCCAGCAGCCTTTCGGCGGTGCCCGTGCCAGTGGTACCAACGACAAGGCCGGCAGTGGCAACCTGCTGTCTCGCTTCGTCAGTCTGCGGTCGATCAAGGAGGAGTTTGTCCCTACCTACAAGGTTCCCTACCCTAGCAACGATGCTTAGGGGTTTGAGCCGTATGGTGATGAGAGATGGTTATTTGGCATATTCCATATTCCCCACGAGTTTTGCATATGTGGCGTTCGGTAAAATTGTTGTATACATAGTTTAGTTATTAAATATATCCAGTCCACCGAAAACTTATACCTGTAAAACCACACTAAAGTCTATACCCATAATTGGCCATTTAGATACCATCCGCACACCTCTCCAAAAACCTCCTCATACTCCCCATCGCCTCTCTCGCAAACCCCTCCACATCCCCAATCTCCTCCTCCCCTGACTTCCCCCCATCAAAAATCTCCATACTAAACCACCCCCTAAACCCGGTCCTCAACACCGCCCTCCCCACCTCCTCAATAGGCAAATACCCCCCATGATACGGCATCGGCCTGAAATCATGACTCCACCGCGCCCTCGGCCTCGCCCCATCCACCACCTCATCCTCAAACGGAGATAGTGGCTTATACGCATCCGACACCTGCAAGAGGAAGATCTTCTCCGGAGGAACCGTCCTCGCCAACTCCTCCAAACTATCTTCATACCTCTTCCTCACATCATCCTCACCACCACCAACCACTCCCTCAGCAGTCGTCGGATCCCCCCACTCCCCCCCGGCCGTCTGAAACGTATCCAAACACAACCCAACATTCTCCCTCCCCACATCCCTAACTATCTCCCATACATCCTTCCAGTTCGGCGCATGCGTACTCCAACACCAGTTCTCGTACGCGATACGTTGGCCCTTGCTCGCTAATATATCTGCCAGCTCACGCAGATCCTCCACCACTGCCTCCCTATCCACCTCCCCATTCTTCATACATTGTAACTTCTCAGCGGGTGTATCCGTCGACCCAATCTGCAACAAATCCGTCCCCAAAGCCTCCATAATTCCACTCCACCCCTTCGCGCGCGAGAACGCATCCTCCCGTTCCGGGGAACCGCGAGGCCATCCCTCGAAGTTGGCGAACGGTTGGAGCATCATGATACGGAGGTTGTGGGATTCGCATAGTGAGCGGATTGAGGTTGCCGCGTGGATGAGGGCCGGGTAGTCGGTTGGTAGGATCTGGGTGGTTCCTGGGTTGTGGGTGTTGGCGTAGGCGAGGAGGTCGGGGAAGGCTAGCTCGATGCCGGTGAAGGAGGCGGAGCGGAGAGTAGAGAGTTTGGTTTCTAGGGGGGTTGTGCTGGGGGGTCCCAGGGAGCAGGTTGCGTAGCTGAGGGGGATCTTATTGATTTCTATTGTAGGGGACATGGTTGTTATGGTGGTAGTGATGAGGCTGTTGTGTGGTTGTGGTGGTGTTTGGGAATTGATGTTGTAGATGTGTTTAATTGTGGTAAAGATTACTTATAAATAAAGATTGAAGGTAGATTAGATTGGCTGTGATGATGATAGTTGTTGATGGTCGCAACTGAGTTGGTTGGTTTGGGTTCGTTCAGGATGATGTAACCGGGCCGTTGATTGAGGTTAGGGCTTCCGGTGCTTCCAGATAGGTACTTTTAGTAAATAGTGCAGCAGGTTTTGATCAAATAAGTGGGATTTATCTTTTAGTCAATCAATCATGCCATGCTTATAAAGTATTAGGATGGGTTGTATAACATGATATTAGTGAGTGAGTGGTATCTGCCATGACGTCTGCACATGATGTAACGGGTGCGTAGTAGTAGTGCCTGGTCTATCCGCGCCACAGCAGCTCTTAAAATGCTTCATTTCACAACCCCTTAACAACATTCCGCTGTAAATCCAGTTCACTATACTACCAATAAAACCAGTAATAATGCCGTCTCACTCCTTCAAACGAATCGGCATCGTCGGAGCCGGCAACATGGGCTCGATGATGAGCTTCGCCTTCACCGAGCTCGGGCTGGACGTCTCCATCTGGGACGTGAAGCGCGAAAACGTCGACGGGATCAAGAAGTGGTATGACGAAGGGAAATTCAGCGGCAAGGGGAAAGTGGAAGGATTCTACGAGATCGATAAATTCACCAAGAGTCTGGAAGGTCAAGGGGAACGGAAATTATTTATCTTCTCTATAACCCATGGCGATCCCGCGGACTCCGTCTTGGATATGATTCAGAATGATCTGAAAAAGGGAGATATTATCCTCGACGGCGGGAATGAAAACTATCGACGGACTGAGCAGCGACAGAAGCGATGCAAGGAACTCGGCGTCAGTTGGATCGGCATGGGTGTCTCGGGCGGGTATCAGTCGGCCCGCCATGGCCCGAGTTTATCGCCTGGCGGAGATCCAGAAGCAATTGAGCTTGTCTTACCGTTGTTGGAGCAGTATGCGGCGAAAGATGAAAAGACCGGCAAGCCTTGTGTGACGAATGTGGGACCTGCTGGTTCGGGTCATTTTGTTAAGATGGTTCATAATGGTATTGAAGGGGGGATGTTGTCTACCACGGCGGAGGCGTGGGCTTTGCTTCATTGGGGATTGGGACTGGAATATCAGGAAATTTCTGATATATTTGAAGACTGGAATACGAATGGAGAATTGCGGAAGAACTTTCTGCTCGACATTGGTGTGCAAATCCTGCGCACGAAGAAGACTCCCCAGGGCGACTACCAAGGCGAAGGCGCCAGTCAGAACGGCGGTTACGTGCTGGATGACGTGCTCGACAAAGTGGTACAGGACGACGATGACACCGAAGGAACGCCCTACTGGTCGGTCATGGAGACTGCAAACCGACATGTGGCCGGTCCTACGCTCGCCACGGCTCACTATATGCGCATCGCTAGTGGCAATCGCGCTGAGCGACTGGAGGTTGCCAAGAAGCTCAACATCCCTGGTCCCAAGGCCATCGACACCAAAGATCGCAAAGACTTCATCGAGAAGCTGCGTCGCGCCGTCTACTGCTCCTTCTTGGCTTCATTCTGCCAGGGACTGGAGTTGATCGCGCGCGCATCCAAGGATGAGGGATGGAACGTCGATCTGAGCAAATGTATCCAGATATGGCGTGGGGGATGCATCATTCAGTCTGAAGCTATTGCAGATCTTCTGCAACCGCTCATGCGTCCTGATCTGACCAACATGAAGTTCCTGGATGAGGTCGCCCGGGAGCTGCACAAGCACTTTGACGCGCTAAAGGAGGTGGTGTTGGCGGCCACGGTAGCAGATCAGTATATTCCCGCGTTGTCTGCTACATTAGAGTACCTGAAGTATGAAGGGGGAACGATGCTGCCAACGAAGTTCATGGAGGCGCAGATGGATTTGTTTGGCGCCCACGCCTACTACATACCGGGTGTACCTGGAGAGGATCCGGGGCCGGTGAAGAAGGGACCTCACCACTACGAGTGGCGTCCAGCTTAGTGGAGAGATGTAATTGTTGTATAGGGAAGAAGATAATGTTGTAATGAGAGACATTCACATGTCATGATACTTCCACAGTATATATATAGATTCGGGGATTTCTGAAACACTTCTCTTTGTATCCATAACGGCCAGGCACAGTCCGTAGATAGTCTGTGATGAATCATCCAACCTAGAGTTATAACTGCAACACAAAGTATTGTAGGGCGTGAAAAATAGAGAGTTGGAGCGACAAGAGTAAACCAGATGGACGAATGATGCCTGAGGAAGCAGCACGTGGGGCGCAACTAAACCTTGCCGCCTCAGGCGGAAACGATTACCCGATTGGGCGATGACCCCGCCATGGAAGATTTGCGACAGTCTCCAACTTCAAATCACTCCGTCTCCTCTCCTCCTTCTCTTCTCTTATTGTATGCCCTTGCTTGCCCTGCGCCGTCTGTTGTCCACTCTTCCATCCCGCCCCCTCAGGAGAATCGAGTCCGCAAAGCAACTCGCCCAAAGAATGGCCGCCCTCCCCTCCACCTACGACGGTAAGTCCGATCCCCGCCCGTCGCATCGTGCTCCTGACAAATCCATACTGATCGCTACTTACCACCATAGAGCCCGTCCGTATCGCCGTTATTGGCGGTACTGGTCTGCGTGAGCTCCCTGGCTTCACCCAGGTTGCGTCGTTGAACATCTCGACTCCTTGGGGCACCCCCTCCTCCCCCATTACCATCCTGCACCACCAGTGCTCCCACAACAAGCAGACGGTCGCCATCGCCTTCCTGAGCCGTCACGGTCTGCACCACCAGATCGCCCCCCACGAGGTGCCCGCCCGCGCCAACATCGCTGCTCTGCGCTCCATCGGTGTCCGCACCATCATCGCCTTCTCCGCCGTCGGTAGCTTGCAGGAGGAGATCAAGCCCCGCGATTTCGTTGTTCCCGACCAGGTCATCGACCGCACCAAGGGTATCCGTCCCTTCACCTTCTTCGAGGGCGGCGTCGTCGCTCACGTTCCCTTCGGTGACCCCTTCGATGAGGGTGTCGCCAAGGTCGTCAGGGCCTGTGGACACAGCTTGGAGGGTGAGGGTGTGGTGCTGCACGACCGCGGTACCCTGATCTGCATGGGTATGTGATAATCCCCGATGGAATAAGGGTCTCAATTACTGATCACCGAATAGAGGGACCTCAATTCTCCACCCGCGCTGAGAGCAAGCTGTACCGCTCCTGGGGTGGCAGCGTCATCAACATGTCCTGCCTGCCCGAGGCCAAGCTGGCCCGCGAGGCCGAGATCGCCTACCAGATGATCTGCATGTCCACTGACTACGACTGCTGGCACGAGTCGACCGCCGATGTGACCGTGGAGATGGTCATGGGCAACATGAAGGCCAACGCTGTCAACGCCAAGCGCTTCGTGACCGCTGTGCTCGACGAGCTGGCCGCTGAGCAGAACTCGCAGCTGGTGCAAGCCAAGCACATCGAGGGATCCGTCAAGTTCGGTTTGAGCACTGCCCAGCCCAACTGGAGCCCCGAGGCTCGCGAGCGGATGAACTGGCTGTTCCCTGGCTACTTCAACTAGGGCCACCGATGACCGGCGGGCTGGCATACGAGTGGATATCTATGAATAGATAGACTATGGTCATCATGACTTACGAAATGCATGATGCGAGGCATATAGAGAATACAAAGAATACAATACCATGTTATGAAGAAGTATGAAATTCGTGATGGTGTAATGATAGTTGACTGCGTAATGACTGAAGTGTGCTCTTATTCACTGGCTAGTCATTCACTGGTTCACAGATAACTCGCTAAGTCCGGCGCCTCTCCTGCATTTTAGTCCAGTGTTCTGCTCGCCCCGGCGATCTTGATGTTTACCTGCATCTTCATCATAACATAGTCACACTGCGGCACCAGAGTCCGGATCACCATGGATCTGAATTATACGACCATCGACGCCCGCGGGGACATGCTCCTCGTGGTCGAAACAGGTGGTGAGCAGATGTATACGCGCCTGACACGATTCAGTGAGTGCAGATCCATCAGTCCTCAGGTATTCATAATTCATGCTCATGCTAATGCACTATGTCACTATTCAGATCCCACCCACCGCACAACCCGGTCCGTTCCAACCTACTTCCAGGGAATTGTCGACACCATCAGCAAATTCCCCCGGCGGAGCAGTGCTCCAGCTCCACCAGAACACGAACTGATCGGCTCCAACCCTGGACAGCAAGCCACCAACAATGTCTCTCACAACCGCACTGTGCAGGCCAGAATCAGAGTATCTTCGGATCAACTCGCCCATACCTGCCCCTACTTCCAAGTGAAGATCAACAGTGAGGACAAGATTAAAGAAGCCGATGCTCTTCCTCCTCGATTCAATAACCTCGGTGCTTTGCTCGTGTTGCTTAATGCCATTCACGGTCGCGCCCTAAATGTCCCACGCCACGTTACCCCAGACACCCTGTGCATGATTGCACTCCTGACTGAGCACTTTGGATGTTACAATAACATGATGGCTTACAGTGAAATCTGGGTCATAAATATGTCTGAAGCGATCCCGAAGGCATACGACAATGATGTGGTCAAGTGGATTTACATCGCCTGGGTGTTCCGTCATCGTAGTCTCTTCTGGTACATCACTCGCGTCGCCATTAGAGGCAGTACCGGGGAGATTTCAAGACAAGGACTGCCGATTCCTGATCCGCTGCTGGGTGCGTATCATTCTATCTTTCTTTACTTCAATGATTGCAATTCTGAGACACTGACCTCTGACACGCACAGAGCACATTGATAGTCTCCGCCAGAAGCACGTCGACGCCCTCGTCATCTCGCTCTACCAGCGCATGGAATCCATCCTTGAGGAAGGCGGCTGCTGCGCGGCCTGCGACGCAATGGTCGTTGGACAACTGATGACAGAGATGAAGCCAAAGGATCTTTTCCCGCCACCCGAGGCCCCGTATGAGGGATGGAGCATTGAATATCTGCTGCGGATTCTATCGGACGTGGCCGAGCCTCAATGCACCCGCCTGTTTCATGAAGACTTGGGCTGTCCCCGGGGCCCCTGTGCATTGTTTCCTGAGACTAGTGACCTCATGAAGCGGGTTGATGTGGAAGCGACCGGCCTGGACTACGACTGGGTGGTTAGCGGCATTTGACGGAGGCTGCTATGGTTTAGGATCAGGGTCGGGCATTAACATGGAGTGTTTTTTTTTTTTTTCTCTTTT